ACCCTTTTATTATATAGGACTAGAGGCCCAGAGCACAAAAATTTGTGCACTGGGGGGGGGGTCCCTCAGCCCGGCCTGTGCCCTCTAACAGTCTGGGACCCCTCAGGGGATGACTACCTGCTGGCTTAGGCCCGCTCCCTGGGGGATTGGGCCTAAGCTGGCAGTCAGACATCCCTCTGGCAGCCCAGGAGCCCTCAGGGGATGTCCACTTGCCAGCGAGGAGCAGGTCTAAGCTGCAGTCGGACATCCTTAGCGCTGCTGAGGAGGCGGGAGAGGCTCCCACCACCACCACTGTACTGGCAGCCATCAGCCTGGCTTGTGACTGGGCAGAGCTCCCCCTGTGGGAGCGCACTGACCACCAGGGGGCAGCTCCTGCATTGAGCGTCTTCCCCCTGGTGGCCAATGTGTGTCATAGTGACCAGTCATTCCCAGTCATTCTGCTGTTAGGGTCAATTTGCATATTACCCTTTTATTATATAGGAGTGCCGGGCCAGCCTGGGTGAGGGGCTGATGGCTGTTTGCAGGCTGGCCACAGCCCTTTCAGGGTGGGGGGTCCTTCTGGGGTGCCTGGCCAGTCTGGGTGAGGGGCTGATGGCTGTTTGCAGACTGGCTACGGCCTCCAGCCACCCAAGCTCCCAGTGGAGGCTGGCTGGAAGCAGGTATCTGGGATTTATTTAGCTTCTGTAATTGAAACTTTGTTGCCTTCAGCAAAGGCCAGAGCCAGCCAGGGCAGGCAGAAATCTTGGCTTCCTCCATCACCGGGGCAACCAAGCCTCCTGCTTGCTCCAGCTCCGTGGCTGCCGGCGCCATCTTGGTTGGGTTAATTTGCATATAGTCTCTCTGATTGGCTGGTTTGCGTGGCTTGGGGCATAGCGAAGGTATGGTCAATTTGCATGTTTCTCTTTTATTAGATTAGATAGGACTTCCTACCTTCATTTTATAGTTATGTGTGTATATTTGTGTCCTGTATTTAATATCTTCTTGAAGGGAAGATTAAATATAATAAAACTTTTATTTTTATTAAACTTGGTGTCTAAAGGTTGAATGAATGAATGATTGAGAATGGTAGTTAAAAGCTCAAGTTCTGGAGCCTGGACTGCCTGTGTTTCAGTCTAACTGCCATGTATTACTGTGATCTTGGACAATTAAAATCTCTATTCCTGTTTCCTCACCTGGACTAACTGGACCTCATGAGGTGCTTATGAAAACTACATGTACAACTTTTAGGGCAGTTACTGATAACATATTACATCTTCAATAAATATTTGTTGTTACTACTTTTATTGCTACTGATGATACATAAAACGATGGTAGGTGAATCCTTCCTAATTCTTCCTGCAACTTCTCATAAATAGACATCACCCAAGTCTTTATCTCATTATAATGCTGTTGCTCAAAGAAACACTTACAAAAGTGAATGTTTCTCTATGATTTTTACTCATCCCTGAAGTACTTAAAATACACGCCGGCAAAGCCCATTTATGCTCTAGGTGGATAAAAATGTCCCTATTGATAATCTACCAGAAATCCAGAATAAATATCTCTGAAATGGTAATTTAGGGCAATGTGGTAAATAGACCAATTTTTAAAATACATATATATACACACACACACACACACACACACACACACACACACTAGAGGCCTGGTGCATGAAATTCATGCACTTGGTGGGTCCCTTAGCTCGGCCTGCACCTTCTCACAGTCCGGGAGCCCTTGGGGGATGTCCAACTGACAGCTTAGTCCTGGGGAGCAGGCCTGAGCTGGCAATCTGATATCTTAGCACTGCCGTGGAGGCAGGAGAGGCCACCGCCACCCGCCACTGCGCTCATTTGAGCCCGGCTTCTGGCTGGGTGCTCCCTCTGTGGGATCGGGCCAAAACCAGCTCTCTGACATTACCCGAGCGATCCCAGATTAGGAGAGGGCTCAGGCCAGGCCAAGGGACCCCACCAGTGCCCGATCAGGGCCGGGAAGAGTTGCGGGAGGTTGGCCAGCCAGGGAGGAACCGCGAGGGCTCCAGGGCATGTCCGGCCCATCTCGCTCAGTCCTGATCATCCAGACCCCAGCAGAAAGCTAACCTACCAGTCTGAGCTTCTGCCCCCTGGTGGTCAGTGCATGTCATAATGAGCAGTTGAGCGACCATAGCATATCATTAGCATATTACGCTTTGATTGGTTGAACGGCCAACCTGTTGACTGGACACTTAGCATATTAGGCTTTTATTATATAGGGTGTGTGTGTGTGTGTGTGTGTGTGTGTGAGAGAGAGAGAGAGAGAGAGAGAGAGAGAGAGAGAGAGAGAGCCATATCTTTTCTCATGCCTTATAGATAATCACAATGCCACCTGTGCACTTGGCCCCCAAAACAAACAGACTTAAAAAAAAGAATCCTCACTAGATCTAAGTTCCAAATTATAAAAAAAACAGATGGTAGAGGAATAAATTAAACTGCACTTGGAGGGGCGGGGGGCGGGTATAATCATTAAAATCCAGACTGTAGAAATTTCTAAAGAACAGATAATCTAATTTCTTTAGATAAATTACAGGGGGGAGGGGAAAGTAGAGGGAAGAACTTTAAGTTGAAAGAGACTTAAGATATATCAACTATTTTATGTAGATTTACTTAGAACTTGATTCAAACATAAAAGCAAACAAAACAGGTATTTGAGTCCACTGAAAATTTAAACACTAAATGAGTATTTGTTTCGTGGTTTTTAAAACATGATATTATGATCATGAATTATTTAAAATGTCCTTAACTTTAGTGATACACTATGAAATATTTATGGGTGAAATTATATTCTTTCTAGGGTTTGCTTCAAAATAATGTGGGAAATAGTGAGATAGTGAAGGTAGGTATAGGTGAAACAAGATTGATCCACTTGGTCAAGATGAATGACAAACATATGCTAGCTGTAGGGAGTTGAGGTGTCATAATACTATTATGTCTGGTTTTGTATCTGTTTGAAATTTTCCGTGGTAAAAACATATCTAACACTTATAAATATTTTCAAGGCTACCTTTTTTAAAAAAATATTTTTATTGATTTCAGAGAGATGAAGGGAGAAGGAAAGAGATAGAAAGATCAATGATGAGAGAATTATCAATTAGCTGCCTTCTGCATGCCATCTACTGGGTATTGAGTCGAAACCCAGGCATGTGCCCTGACTGGAAATTGAACCGTTACCTCCTGGTTCATGGGTCCATGCTCAACCACTGAGCCACGCCGCCAGGATGAGGCCATCATTTTTTTAAACAAATATAATTTATCAGCTTTTGTATCTATCTTTTTTATTCTGTTTTTGTACTGTATGTCATTTTATTTAAAATGATGGTAGTATCATAAGGTTTACACACATACATTGAGATGTGTGTCTTTTCAGTATCCAGTCAGCCTTGCAACCAATAACACATAGTTGAGCCATTCATTTGTAGGGTATTTTTCTAGGATCAGATATATAATCTTTGGCTATGATAGATTAAAGTTAGCCAGTGTGTAGATTAAAGTTCCACCTGGGCTTTTTTTAACCCCATACTCTAACCAGTTAACTGCTATTACTAAATTACTAATTGTTCTTTTTTCTCTGACTCAACAGGACACCTCTGTGCTATCCTCAAAGAGCTGGCTGCTGACTTGACTGGCCCTGACATACAGGTGGCAGCATCCACATTTTTACTTCCACCCCTGTGTCATCAGGATGATCTTTTGTTATTAAGTCCTTTGCTACAAGAGACTGACCATAGATTTATTGAGGAACAGGTATGGTCATTTTTCAATAATTCTTGGGTTCATTCCAAGTGTGAACAGTAGTTTTAAAACTTTATATAACTTTTTTTTTTTTAGCTCCTGCTTAGTAATGGTATTGCTTGTGGAAGTCTTGAGTATGACCCCTATTCTATTTATGAGAAAGATGTAGGGGGAGATTCAGTGCCTAAGCCCCTACCTCCAACACTATCAGTGATTAGCTCTGCAGTCAAGCTCTTTGGAGTTGTATGTGCTCATGTGGGAGAAGCTCAAAGGTAAACCATCTTTAGTAATTCACTTACCCTGAAATAAATAGTTTACTTATTCTGAAATGTAATATTTCCAGACTGGCAATTGGTTCAATGAATGCATAATGTAGACTTGGGTGGGTAAGAAGAATGTTGTCAGAAGTTCTCATTTAATATAACAAACTTACAGATGAAAGTGAGATGCTGTCTCTCTCTCTTTTTTTTTTAATTCTCAGCCAAGGATATTTTTTCCATTGATATATATATAAATTTTTTTTTTTGGTTGTTATCGTTCTTGAGAAAGAACGTTTTTGAGAAAGTGCAAGGGAGGGAGGAGAGGGGAGAAAGAGAGAGAAACATCAACATGAGAGAGACACATTGATTGGTTGCCTCCCACGGGCCGGGGATTGAACTTGCAACTGAGATATGTGCCCTTGACCAGGAATCGAACCCATGACCCTTGGGTCTGTGGGCCAACACTCTAACTACTTAGCAAAATCAGCCAGGATGAGGTGCTGTCTCTTGTTTACTTATTTACCTGGCTAATATTTAATAAGTAAGTTAACGATTAAATTAAATGATTAAATTAAACTAACAGTTGATAGTACTATTGTGCATACAATACTTAACCGACAGTTAGCTTATTATCTACCTAAAAATAGAACTGGAAACTCCGTGACACAAGAACATTGATATCTCTTCCTGGAAGCAACCTGAGGTGGCCTTTGAAAATGGCTTACTATTCACTTGACCCAGAAAACCTCACAAAATCATGCATATCAAGAGGTTCAAATCTTCATGTCCACTTTAACAAACCCATGAATCTGCCCAAGCCATCAAGGGTATGCATGTCTGAAAAACCACCAAATGTCTGAAGGATGTCACGTTAGAGAAGCAATGTGGGCCATTCTGTCATTGCAGTGGTGGAGTTGGAAAGTGTGCCCAGGGCAAACAGAGGGTCAGTGGCCCAAAAAGAGTGCTGAGTTTTTGCTGCACATGCTTGAAAATGAAGAGAGTAGTGATCAACTTCAGGGTTTAGATGCAGATTCTCTGTTCATTGAGCACATCCAGGTGAACAAAGCTTACAGAGCTCATGGGTGGTTTAACCCACACACGAACTCTCCCTGCCACACTGAGAGGATCCTTCATGAAAAAGAGCAGGTTGTTCCTAAACCAGAAAAGGAGTTTGCACAGAAGAAAAATATATCGCCCAAGAGTAAATTCAGCATAAAATCAATGCTAATGAAAGTTTAAAAAAAGAGAGAGAGAGAACATTGATTTATGAGAGAGAACATTGAAAAACATTGGTTTTCTGCGGAAAAACATTGGTTTTCTGCTTAGATTAGGTCTCATAGGCTTGCTTTCTTGGAGACTTCATGGAGCCATTGTAGGTATATCAGTTCATTCAAAGTGAATTTTGGTTTTGAAAACTCAAAATTTGATAATGATTTCTCATTGATAATAACAGCTTCTTAATTGATAACTGAGTTAATACCATTCTTAAAGATTAAAAAACATTATTCATATTGACTACCAGAAAATTCAGTTTTTATCTGAGATACTAAAAGGAAGTGAATCTTTCCTGTAGGCTATACTGGTCCACAGTTTACAAATTGTTAAGTATCATCATTCATATTCTCTCTCTTTATATATACATACAATATAATTTTATCCAGTTATATCTTCCAGTTAGGTAGGAAATTTACCTTGGTCTCTTGCTGAAGATGAACAAATATATTTGAGTGTTGTCAACAACACATTTCTGAAACAGGTCTTTCAGTGGATAGAAAAGTGAATAAAATTTGTTTATTTTTAACAGCTTCATATCATTTTATTTAAAAGGCTGGTAGCATTAAGGTGTACACACACACACACACACACACACACACACACATAAATTTTGAGGTGTCTTTTCAGAGCTTTAATTTCAAAAGGTATTTTTCCCAAATTTATTTGTAGCATATAGCTCCCTGTTTACCTATACAGAATACAGTTAATTTAAAATAGTTCATTTGAATTAATACAGCTAACTACAGTGGATGAAACGGGGTGGCCTTGTGGATAAGTGATTTAAATTAAGCATGTTCTTAAATGGCTCTACTCTTTTTAGTAAATTCAAGGTAAAACGTAAAAAAGAAAAGAATATAGTTCTTACAAACTTTCTTTTTTTTTTAAACGATTTTATTATCACTTATCCTCCCTTTCTTCTGAAATTAAAATGGCTAATACTAATTTCAACTTTATTTGTGTTCTTATTGTATATGGGAAGTCACAAATATTGATTTATAATAGCATCTATTTTGTTTAATTATAAATTAATACATACTCATAGAAGAAGATTTAGAAAATATAAAACAATAAAATGTAAATTAAAAAGTTCAACTCATAACCTGGTCGGGTGGCTTAGTTGGTTGGAATGTCATCCTGTGCACCAAAGAGGTTGCAGCTTCGATTCCCTACCAGGGCACATAACTAGGTTGTGGGTTGGTCTGGGCACGTATGGGAGGCAACCAATTGATGTGTCTCTCACAGTTGTGTTTCTCTCTCTCTCTCACTCTCTTTCCCTCTCTCTACCTCCCTTCCACTTTCTGTAAAATCAATGGAAAAATATTCTCGAGTGAGGATTAACAAAAAAACTTCCAGAATGTCAACATATTTTATACAGAAAAGAAATATTATTGATCTTATGCAAATGTTGTGGTTACTTTTAATATATTTTTTGCACCTAATTGCAAAGAATGAATTAGTTCATTAACTTGATGATTGTTCCACTTCCAACTGCACATTGCAATCATTTGAACAACTTTCTAGTAAATTCTGATTTAATAGTATGGTGGTCATACTATGTTAGGCATTGAAACTTATAAATAAAAACATCTGATTCGGATGTGCCGCCAAGGTTAAGAACCACTGCTATAAATGCTTATAAAATACTGTAGATTGTGAGTTGATGGAGAGAGAGGAAAAGCATATAGTTCTCAGTATTAAAAATGTTCACCATTATACACCCTCCCTGAAAGAATAAAGTAAATCAGTATTTTCAAATGTGTGTCTGCTGTTTACTCAGTTAACTATGTATTTTTGTTTCAACTATACTCAAAACTTTGTTTCTGATTTCGTTACAAACAAAATAATTACATGTTTTAACTTATGCCACTTAGAAATACCAATTCAGTGTTACTGAATGCTGTTATCTGCATCAGTTCCTCAAAAAATTTAAAAAAAAAACTACTTTATGACCCAGCAATTCCACTTCTGGTTATTTATCTGAAGAAATCCAAAACACTAATTTGAAAAGATATATGCACCCCTGTGTTCATCATATAGTATTCCATATGATGTGGAATCTAAAAAACAAGTAGAACAGAAACAGATTCATAGATACAGAGAACATTTTGACCGTTGCTAGATGGGAAGGGGTTGGGAATGGGGGGAATGGGTAGGAAAGGTAAAAGGAGAATTAAAAAGTACAAATTGGCAGTTACATTCTAGTCATAGGGTTGTCAAGTACAATATAGCATAGAGAATATAGTCAACGTAGGCAATAACTATGTATGGTACCAGGTGGGTACTAGACTTACCATTTCATAAGTTATATAATGTTTAACCACTATGCTGTATACCTCTGAAATGAATGCAATATTGAATGTCAACTGTAATTGAAAAAAAAATTTTATAAAGGAAAAAAAGTCATCTTCCTGAAAATTCAGAATGTTTTTTTGTTCTTGATGTTATTTTTTGTTTTGTTTTTGAAATCTCTGTTAGGATTTGGGATCAAAAGATGGGGAAAAACTTGGGGGCTGTCAGTCCTGGATACAGTCAGGAGAAAATGGGAAAAGCATGAGTTAATGTTGTGTTGTATATAATATGATCCCAAGTACATTTTTAAAGTGTAGTTGAGAAGCATTAAATGTAGATGACATAAGTTGGTGCTACCTTTAAAATGAAGCAATGTGTTTGAATCCAATTAAGTTCTGTTATTAAAAACAAAAATTGATGCAAATAATTTCTGAGCTATCTTTTGTTTAGAAAATAATTGCTGAAATAGCTGGATTTTCCCAGGTAAATCTTTATTAAGTGATACATCCATTTGTTGTTGTTGTTTTCCACAAAATAATGCTTCTCCCCCACTATAGAATGACACCTAATTAAATATTTTTGCATTGGTTATGATATATTTTCTTTTCCAAAAATGCTTTGGTGTGTTCAACATTTTAGTAGTACCAACAAAACGAATTAGCAGTAGATATTTATTACTGTCCATTGACTTACTTTATCTTGATTAACAATACTGTCTTTTCTATTTGCTTTTAAATATTTTGTTTCTGATCTTAGGCTTCTTACATTGGAACAGCTTTTGGACAGTATAAAGCACACAAAAGGAGCTCGTCAACAAGTAGTTCAGTTACATGTTATTTCCTCAGTTTCCAGTTTCTTAAAGGTAATTATATTTTTTAAAAATTCATGTTTGCTTTATTTTATTTTTTTTTAAGGTAGGATCAACTAAGTAGATTGGAGGAAGGTATTGTTAAAGGGCTATCATTGTTTTTCCCCCCTAATTTTTCTTAACCTCCTGATGAAAATGTTTTGTGATTTATAATTTCCCTTTTACTTTTTCTCCACATATAACTTGTTAGTCAGATAACCTTGTACTGGAGCCATGCCTTACTCTACTGAGCCTAATAGCCTAGCCAGTGGTCGGCAAACTGCGGCTTGTGAGCCACGTGCGGCTCTTTGGCCCCTTGACTGTGGCTCTTCCACAAAATACCGACTTCTGCGCATGGGCCACAAAGTTTCAATCGCACTGTACGTGTGCACCCGCACATGGTATTTTGTGGAAGAGCCATACTCAAGGGGCCAAAGAGCCGCATGTGGCTTGCGAGCCGAAGTTTGCCGACCACTGGTCTAGGCCAATGGTCGGCAAACTCATTAGTCAACAGAGCCAAATATCAACAGTACAACGATTGAAATTTTTTTTGAGAGCCAAATTTTTTAAACTTAAACTATATAGGTAGGTACATTGTTATTAACTTAATTAGGGTACTCCTTAGCTGGCCTTTGCTAAAAACGTCCTCAATCTGATTGAGGTACGTTCGCTGAGGTCGACCCCTTCCAACTCTCTCATCCACACGCGTCTTGTATACTTGTTTCAGATAGACGAGTGTGGATGGGAGAGTTGGAAGGGGTCGACCTCAGTGAACGTACCTCAAAACAATGTACCTCCCCCGCGCTGCATATCCTGCGGCCCTCCTGCACATCTCCCATCGCCCGACCAACACCCCCCACTTCTTCTAACGCCACTTCTTCAAAATAGACTCGCTCAGGCCGAAAACCAACTTCTGCGCATGGGCCACAAAGTTTCAATTGCACTGTACGTGCGCACCCGCACCCGCACGTGGTATTTTGTGGAAAAGCCACACTCAAGGGGCCAAAGAGCCGCATGTGGCTCGCAAGCCGTGGTTTGCCGATCATTGGCCTAGACCAGGGATTGGCAGACTATGGCATATGTTCCAAATCTGGCTCGTTGTTAACATTTATAACTTATTGTTTCTAAATAAAATGTAATAGGTTTCATTAGTTATATATTTTATGGAAAATCCCTTTTTATAGTCTTCTGAACATATGTACAGTGGGGCCTTGACTTACGAGTTTAATTCGTTACGTGACGGAGCTCGTAACTCAAATTACTCGTATGTCAAATCAAAAAGTGAACAAGTGAGACACGTGATGCTGGGCTGATGTTGTGGCCTTCGCTGTGACGTTCGCTGCGCCAACTAGCAGTGGGGTATCTGAAGCTGGCTCGTAACCCGAATTTTAGCTCGCAACTCAAAGCAAAAAATCGGCCGAGAGACGGCTCGTATCTCGAAAAACTCGTTAGTCGGGACACTCGTAAGTCAAGGCCCCACTGTATATACTACAGTGATAATTGGTCACCACATTGTTTGTCTGGATGTTTAAAATTCTAAAGTACTTTGTCACAAAAATCAAATTATGTTTGTATGTTCAGTGGAGTTTTTATGTTCTGATTTTTTTTTAAGTAGTAATCCAAGTATGAACACATTTGGTTAACCAGAACATATGTTCCAAATTAGGTAAAATTCACTGCAGTTGTAAGTTTGGGTTGTTCTTTTCATATTTCAGTATGTGGCTGGCTCCAAGGGAAGTTTGGGTCCAGAAGAAATGAGAAGACCTGCCCTAGCATTAGTAACAGGAGCCTTAGAAAGTCCCAACCCCCTCGTGAGATGTGCAGCTGCAGAGGCATGGGCTAGGTTAGCCCAAGTGGTTGATGATGGACCTTTTACTGCTTCGTTAGCTCAAGTTAGCTTTGACAAGTAAGTGAATTTCTCATTTAATATTCCTAGGCTAGGTGTCAAAGCTGGGTATAGAAGGTTGTTAATACTGCCCTGCCTATTTAAAGGATGTTAAGGTAAATGAGATAATAAATAAGAAAGTGATAAAAAATAAAATAACTACAAATAAAAGTTTATGGTTAGATTGGTAATATATGTAGATACATAAAGTTACTTTTAGTAGTGGTGGTAGAAGTGCAGGCAGCACTTTGACCTTCTAGTCTGCTGAATATGTGTCTGATTTGGTTTAAGAGTCTAGAGTCAGATTACTAATTTGGTTCAAATCCCAACTCTTCCATTTAATAGTTGTCTACTTTGTAAGAGTTACTTTGGCTATCCTATTTGATTTCCTCATTTGCAAAAAGGAATTGATAATAGTATGGATCTCAAGGTTGTTGGGAGGATTAGAGAACTAAATGTAAAGCACTTAAATTAGTGTAAAATACATAGAAAATTCCTCATATATTAACTTATTCTATTACATTTAATTTTAAATACAAAGTTCTTGAGTTGAATTCTCTCTGTGGAATTAAAGTATCTCAGCAATGTTTTTGAAATGTAATTTAATAAAGTAATAATGTCCTCCATATAAATTTAGTGTGTGTGTGTCTCTGAAAGACATTGAAATTGCTTTTACTTAAATAATCTATAATAATGTGAAGATATTTTTATTTAAAATGTTTTTCTTTGCAAGATACCTATCTGGTTATTTCAGAAATTTTTTATCATTTAACAGTAAAAACATTTCTGAATTTTAGAACTATTCATACAAAAAGTTTTGTGTAGGTGACAGTATCATGCAGTAGTTTCGCTTCAGTGATTATCATATATTTTTATTTCCATAATTACAGACTGAAATCAGCAAGGGACGTGGTTACCAGAACAGGGCATTCATTGGCTTTGGGATCCCTCCATAGGTATTTAGGAGGAATAAGTTCTCAACATTTGAATTCTTGTGTAGGAATCCTATATACTTTGTCTCAGGACAGTACTTCTCCTGATGTGCAGGTAAGAACTCCATGTGATATCCTACTTGAAATTCATGATTTGCAAATTATGTTTTTATTGATCATTAGTAATTTGTAAATAATTCCCCTCTCACAGTAAATATTTTTTTAATATATTTTTATTGATTTCAGAGAGGAAGGGAGAGGGAGAGAGAGATCGAAACATAAATGCTTTTGCACGCTCCATACTGGAGATTGAGCCCACAACCCAGGCATGTGCCCTTGACCAGAATCAAACCCAGGACCCTTCAGTCCACAGACTGACGCTATATCCACTGAGCCAAACCAGCTAGGGCCCTCTCATAGTAAATATTAAAGCCATTTAAACATGATGGATTTTTAAAATTTAATTCTTTTTTTCACACTCAGTGTCTAAAGTCAAGTTCAGTATCTTTTTCTGAGAATTAATCTGTCTGCCATCTTAATAACATCTATTATTTTGGAGAGCTTAATAGGTAACAAACATTGTATTATATTCTTCTAAACATATTAATATATTTTTTCTTCACAGTAGTCTAGGGTGTATATTCTCTTTATACAGAAAGAAAATTGAGGCTTACAGAAACTAAGTAACTCAGGTTAAGAAAACAAGTCATGGACTCCAAATCCATGTTCTTAACCACTTTAACATATTGTTGTACATAGCTTACCCAATTCTGTTGAAATCATCATTTTCCTCATATTTTAATCAAATCTTGAATGATTATTACTCTTCTTGCTCTTTTGCTCCCCTTATCTTGGTTTCCTGTGTCTTTTTTTTATTATTGATTTGAGGGGGGAGAGGGGGAAGAAGGGAAAGAGAAACATTGACTTGTTGTTCCATCTATTGATACGTCATTGGTTGCCTCCTGTATGCGCCCTGACCAGGAATCAAACCTGCAACCTTGGCACATCTGGATGACGCTCCAACCAACTGAGCAATCCAGCCAAGGCTCCTGTGTGCCTTTATTTACTACTAGAGGCCTAGTGCATGGATTTGTGCACTGGTGGGGTCCCTCAGCTTGGCCTGCGGGGATCAGGCCGAAACTGGCTCTCTGACATCCCCCAAGGGGTCCAGATTGTGAGAGGGCACAGACCAGACCAAGGAGCCTAGTATGCATATAAGATCTTTGGTTGATCTCTTCCAGCCCTCCCCCTGCCCCCATCCCTCTGAGATTCATCAGTCTGTTCCATGTTTCCATGCCTGTGGTTTCCGCTCCTGTGCTGAGCATCTGCCCCCCTGGTGGTCAATGTGCGTCATAGCTACCGGTCAGCCGGTCACTTAGGCTTTTATATATAGAGATAGTAGCCTCCTACCTGGTCATTTTACTTTTAGGTTCTTTTCAACTCTCCCTAGATATGAAGCCAAATTTGTTTTCCTGAAAGTCTTTCATCTTGCCACTTCCCTACTGAAAAGCGGCAAAACTGCTTATTGCTTCTTAGGTCAACTTCTCACTCAGGTTTCATCAGCTGACCCAGGAATCTTCTCTCTCCTTACCCAAGTACTGGTATTCTCCTATAGATGATCTACCTACTTTTATCCCACACATGTCATTCTCTTATCTGCACTTCTGTTTTTCCTGTTGCTCTTCTCCTTATTCCTATCTGACAATCCAAAAATTTTAGTATTTTAAGATCCAGTTTAACTACCTTCTTGTTAAGCTTCATATCCCTCAGCCACAATAAGCTTTCATTCTTGGAATTACTATACTAATAGTCTCACCACATCATCTAGTACTTGATTAAGTTGAAGTGTTCCATTCTTTTAACCCTTCTTTTAGTACAGTACTTTTTGCTTCTATTTATTATATTCCTCTTCTTGTTCAAGAAGCCTGTTCTGAATGTACATACTTTTATATTGAATACTTTTTGTTGATTAACTTAAGTGCTTCTTTACATGGCTTCCAGTGTCATCAAATCTGACTCTTCTTGATTGCAGCTCTCTCTCACTTAACAGAATTTCATTTTATAGCATTTACTGGTAAAGTACTATACACTTTTTTATGCATCCATTGATAAAAGCAGTAAAATTTTCTAAGTTGGTTTCCTGAAGGAAGAACTTTTTATATACTTCTTATTTTGGAAAATTCAAACATACATAAAAGTTGAGAGTATTCTATAAGGAATCTATTATACCCATTATCCAACTTCAGTGGTTATCGGTATATGGCCAGACTTGTTTCATTTAAACCAGAGTTGGCAAGTTTATTCTATAAAGGGTCAAATAGTAAACTATTTAGTCATATGGTCTCTGTCACTATTCAATTCTGCCATTGTAGCAGGAAAGCAGCCATAAATAATATATAAATGAATGAGCATAATTGTTTCTTTTTCTTTTTTAATGTGTGGTGTGTTTTTTTCAGAGAGGAAGGGAATGGGAGAGAGAGAGATAGAAACACCAATGATGAGAGATAATCATTGATTGGCTGCCTCCTGCATGCCCCCCACTAGGGATTGAGTCCACAACCCAGGCATGTGCCCTTGACCGGAATCGAACCTGGGACCCTTCAGTTCACAGGCCGACCCTCTTTCCACTGGGCCAAACCAGCTAGGGCCATAATTGTGTTTCAATAAAACTTCATGTATGAAAACAGGTGGCAGACCAGATTTGGCTTGAGGGCATTTTATTTGTCTGTTTGTTTAATATATAAGTATATATTTTTATGTATTTACAAATATATTTATAAATGTGCACCTGTCGTAGTGTTCATCTCTGTGAATCAAGTCTCAAACTGAATACAATGTGTCCAATCCTAGATTAATAAACAGAACATTATCGGTACCCCAAACACTGTCCTCGTGTTCTTTCTAGTTACTACCTGTCCTACCAAGGATAACCATTATCCTAATTTGCAACAGCACATGTTAGTTTTGCCTGCTTTTATATATTTTATATCAGTAGAGTCATATGGTATGTACTTTTTCATGTCTGGCTTTCTTCAACATTGTTTTTGGGAGATTTGTTCATATTATGACATGTAGTTGTGGATTTTGTTGAATCTTTTAAAAACTTGAATTTTCATTCTCTATATAGATTAAACAATAATAAATTTTCAACAAAATAGATTTAGCGCAAGCTGTTAGCTAAAGAATCAAACATCTTGGAATTCTTAGTGGTGAGATATATCTAAATATACCATTCTAAATTAGATGATTGTCTCTCAGCTGTTTTTTACTGGGTATTTAAAGAAAGATTTTCTTTAACTTTTAAAATTTTTCATTTCTCTTTCCAAGTTAGAAGTAGCGTACAAATACTTTACTTTGCCATTACTTTATCACTTGCTTCAATGAAAGAATAATTCATTATTTTGTATGTTTCTTAATGTTGCTGTAACATTTAAATTTTTTTTCCTGTCTTCACAGACCTGGGCCCTACACTCTCTGTCATTGATCATCGATTCTGCAGGCCCACTCTATTATCTGCATGTGGAACCTACCCTTTCTCTTATTATAATGTTGTTGTTAAATGTGCCTCCTACTCATGCTGAAGTTCACCAAAGTCTCGGTCGTTGTTTGAATGCCCTTATTACTACATTAGGTCCAGAGCTACAAGGTATGCATAGCTGTTTTTTGGATGTTTTACATGAAAAATACACATATAAAAATTAGTTTAGTTTCTATAACTGACTCAAATACTTGTCATTGAAGTGAAGTTTAACAGAATGTTATATTCAGATATATTGGCAGAATGTTGAGAGTACTCTTAGGAAAACTTTGAATCCTGGATGATGGCATGATAGAAAAATAACATAGAAACTATGATACTTACTTTAAGCTCTACCACTACTTAATTGGGTGACGGTGGGAAATTCTTACATCTCTGGGCTTTGGTTTTCTTCTTTATCAAACGAAGAGAAAGTTGAAAAGCCTTTGTTATTGGCACGTAGTAGGTGCTCAGTATTCTATCTTGCTAAATAAATGCTATTCAGTCTGATTATCTTACCTTGAAAAGAAAAGGAGTACATATTTAGAAAGATTTGATATGTCCTAAAAATGCTTCTCTTAACAACTAAAATGACAGACATGAAGTAGAGTATTTTAAAGAACTCTTGATCTCTTTTAAGAAATAAATGACTGCGCCCTAACTGGTTTGGCTCGGTGGATAGAGTATTGGCCTGCAGACTGAAGGGTCCCAGGTTCGATTCCCGTCAAAGGCATGTACCTTGGTTGTGGACACATCCCCAGTAGGAGGTGTGCAGGAGGCAGCTGATAGATGTTTCTCTCTCATCGATGTTTCTAACTCTCTATCCCTCTCCCTTCCTCTCTGTAAAAAATTCAATACATTTTTTTTTAAAAAAAAAAAAGAAAGAAAAGAAATAAATGACTGCATCCGAAAACTCAGATATTCTGATCTGTTCAAATGCACAATATATGATGTTAATATAGATGAAAGCAATGTTCAACTAATACAAGTAGGGCTAAGTTTATTAGCAATTTCTAATTCCACTTTTCATGAAAATTTGGTGTAATCTACAGACAGTCTTAGGTGTTTTTTTACCTAATGATTTGTGTTGCCAAAAACCTTTCAGACTAAGAATAACTAATAATCATCTAAAAGTCTTTCAAATGGATTATTCCTGCTTTTGTAGAAGAAATTTACTTCACAAATTCTTAAATTTAAAATTGGAAAAAGAGTAATGATTTTATAGGCCAATTATTAAAAACTTTCTGCTTTCATTTTAGGTAACAGTACTTCAGTTTCTACCTTAAGGACGTCCTGTCTGTTGGGTTGTGCAGTGATGCAAGATAACCCGGACTGCCTTGTTCAAGCGCAGGCCATCTCTTGCCTTCAGCAGCTTCATATGTTTGCTCCACGACATGTCAACTTGTCTAGCCTGGTCAGCTGCCTCTGTGTGAGTATAAAATTATAAATGAGTTTTTTAGTTTCTTTTATTGGATACTTAGATTTGTTTTAATTATTCTCTACATCGTGTACAATAGCAATTTTCTCTCAGTTCTAGTCCTTTTGGGGAAAGTAAGGGGCCAATTTTTATATAATCACATCTTAAATCTCATATGGACTTGTTTTTCTCCCATTAATGTTGAACTTAATGTTTTGAATATTTATTTATTAAGCAATAAGCATATATTGTGTGGCATAAATATCCCAGGTACTATATAAATACTATAGGACATGGAAAATTTTGTGGTAACATTTTTTTCTTCTCCTTTTTCTATTCCAAATTATTACATACAAAGTTCTTTCCATCCCAGATGGGCACATAACATTTTTCCTTCATATACTAGCAGCATATGCATCGATGTCTTGGTTCTACTAATGTGTCTGATGAATATAGAAGGTGCTTCATAATCTCAGTGGTTTTAAGATTTACCTTGAACACCATCAGTTTCTGTCTGGACTTGCCTCAAAAGTTGTTACATTTGGAATGAAAACTTCTTCTGTCCCTGCAGTGTTCTTAGCACACTCCCATTAGTAACATGACAGCTGAGAATTATTACTTTATGTAGACAGACCTTTCATTTTCAAGCTTGAGGCAAAATATGCAGCATTTCAGACTTTAAAGAACCTCAGACATTGTTAAAACCAGTGTTCTCAATAAAAAGATAAACTGAGGACCAAAAATTCAAATAATTTGACTAGGCTCTCAGTCTAGGATCCAGATTCCTGAACTTCTTGTCCAGTCCTCATTTCATTATTTCAGACTGTGTTTGTGATTAATAGCTCCTAGCTCTGCCACCTCAGCGTTAGGCGGCTTTAGGGACACCCTGTAACCTCTTCCAGCCTCAGCTCCCTTGTGTGTAAAACACAATTACACAAGATGCCGCCTATAAAAGTGCATGTCTCAGGCACCTAATAACCAATCATTAAGTAGCAGTTGTTTTTATTTTCTTAGTATATACCTTAAACATAGATTATGTTATCTTCATACTGATTTTGATCATCATAACTATGTAAGACTCTTAAAAAGAGGATATGACTGACTTTTCTAGAGGAAACTTTGGTTCCTGTCTGGAACCAAACTTGTGTTAGAGAAAATAGCAGTTAGTGGAACTTCTCAATGACTTTCCCCAGGAATATTGCTTTTATATTTAGAGAACCATTGCCAAAACCAATTATTGAAAAATATCCACTGTTTTATTAGTACAAGTTGGTCTGACTTTCATTCTCCATTCAAATATAATGATACTGCCATTTTTTTTCTTTTTAAATTATAGTAGGAAATTTCCACTAGTAGCCTTTTTAATCTTCTTTAACTTTACCTGAATTCATTTATTAAATAAAGTTCAAACTCATCAAACTCATTATTCTTTTACTAGACAAGAAAGGTTACATACATATAAAGAAGATAGAGATTATTATCAGATTTTCCTTGTGGATACATTCAGAGCAATTGAGAAAATCAGAAGTAACAATTACAAATCTTATTCGTGTTAGTCATAATATTTAAGCTGTAAAATGATGTTTTTCTTATACAGAAATCATATTAAAAAATTGCTGTCACTATAGTATGTTAATTTTGTGTCTTAATATTTTTATTCTAAATTTATTAGGTTGAATTTAGTATTATATTTTAGAATATTCTCTGTAGTAAGGAAATTGCTTTTGCTTTCCTGTTTTAACAACTTTATGATCAGATTTTCTTTTCTACAAAGAATTTAAATATTTAGCATGAAGTGTTTTCATATTAATTGAAACTCCCTGAATATTCAGAATGCCTTTCATCATTAAGAAAAAATCTTATGGGGGAAAAAGGAAACATATGTAATATTTTTAACAATAAAGATTTTTTTAAAAAACCTTAGTGTAAAGGACTTTATTCTAACTGCATGCTGTTTAACTTCTATTCTGAACTTAACCTTAGCTACATTAGCAATTCTGAGTACTCTCAGTTTTAAAATTTGGCTTCCAAGGGTAAAAAAAAATCTATAATTAACTTGTGATGAGATAAACCTTTAACTCTGCCCCTTGCCAGACACCTGTTCATGTGAATGCAATCCAGATCACCCCTGTCACACTCATGTCTACTTGGTCTGGTTTTGTTACTGCAGCTTAATGAGAGATCTGAAAAAAACACCTAATTACACAAATGTACATTTTTTATTATTTTATATTTTATTTCTGCATCTTGAATTGACTATTTTTAAGATCTTAGCTCAATTCATGTTTTAAGTGGGAAAATGAAGTATTTATGGCATATTTTTAAAGCTGAAGCTAAACCAGTTTTAATGATAGAGTCTATCAACATATGTATTTTAATTCTTAGCTGACTGTTGTCAAAGTCATCCTAGCATTTATCTTTTGGTTTTGTCTTTGACTGGTCTGTCATTTGTTTTTGTGCAGGAGATCTTGTTGGATAATTCTGTGTTGGTAGGTCCCTGACCCTCGATTCCTAACTTTTTTGAGGTTTGCAGTGCTGTTTCTTTGTCATTTTTTTGGTTGTAGATGTTTATGTTTTTGTTTTCCTCTGCATCTCTGTTTAAGCTAACCATTAATGCAAAATCCAGTATGTGTAGCATGTTACATGATGTTTATTTAATACCAGTGTAAAAAATTCCTCCCTAACCTTCTCCAGCTGGTATATTCATTCCTTGCACTTAATTTTGCATCATTTTGATTTTATGTATTCATTTCAGAAAAGAATTGTAATTAAAGTTTGATTTAATTTCTGTATTTTGCCTGTTTGGTCTGTTTGCCTTAACTCACTCTATTACTCTTCCCATTATAAATGCTGGAGAATGACATGGAGATACTAAGCATCCCATTTTGCTTTGTGTGGCAGCCTTCAATCTTTTTTTTCTACCAAACAAATAAAGAGTCCTTTTAAGCATGCTTTTTCTAAAAAATTATTTGACCAGCCTGAATAATGCTGCATCTGCCTTGTATTACATGCTTGTAAAACTCCAATTAAAATAACTAGTAGCTTCATTAACTTTTCTTTAAAATTGTCTTGTAGAGTGCTTTTCTGTCATTGTTACTAATATAGCCATAATTTTGGGCATGAACAAACTTAATGTTTTTACATTTTAACTTCTCTGTTATTCTTTGTACTAGTTTTTAACAACAGAGTTCTTAAACATGACTGGAATGACATTACCTTGGATTTTGTGAATAACATTCCTCTCTTTCCACTTTTGAGTTCATATATGGCTTGAGGATATAATAGAATATATTTATAAAGCAGTTCCTGTCCATACGTTTCCCTGATGATATATTTACAAACTTTTTCGGTCTTTTGTCTTCTGATAAAATTAGGATTTAGCTTTCTTTGCATGTTTCTTCTTCTATATCAAAAAGCCAGCTTCCAACACCTACTCTTTTACTCAGAATTACTCTGCCATTTTCAGTAAACTTACCTACTTCAGGCCTTTTTTCCCATACACACCAGATCTAAAGATCACTATAAGAATTATGCCATTATTTCTCAAATTTTACTTGGAAAGTTACTATTATAAGACACATGTATTCATTGTCTTAAACCATACCAAACTGGTCTTTACTGTCATATTTAAAACAATAAATTTCAAAAAATCAACACTTTATTCTACTTATGAAATCACTGAGTAAGAATCCTTTGATTTTTTTTTTTTTTACTTTCTCATTTAAGGCATCACCAGTCATATAATTTACCATATCGTTTACACAACCTATTGAGATTAGCATTGTTTAAACACTTCTAAGTAAAATGAATATGTATTGGGTCTGTCATTCTGAGCAGAAATATTCTATATCTTTAAGATATATACATACCTATGTACATATATGTAGATCCATATACAAGTAGATATACATATATATACGTTTTGCTATCCATTATATTTATCTCTAGAGAGCATTTTGGTGAATATGTTTTCTGAGTAAAACTCTTTCTGCCTTTATTTGAAAATGCAATCACTTACCCTGAATAAAATACTATTGATAGAGACTTGCATTAATAATAACTAACCTTCACCTGGCCGGTGGTGCTCAGTGGTTGAGCATCATCCCCTGTACCACCAGGAGGTTGCTGGTTCAATTCCCAGTCTGGGCACATGCCTAGTTTGCTGGCTCGATCCCCAGCAGGGGGCGTGCAGGAGGCAGCCAATCCATGTTAATGTTTCTCATGGATGTTTCTATCTCTCCCTCTCCCCTCCTCTCTTTCTAAAATCAATAAAAACATTAAAATAATAATAATAACTAATATTTATCGAGTATTTACTATTTGCCAGGTCTTGTGCTAAGCACTTTTGCATGTTTCTTTGTGTTAACTTCACAACATCCTTGTGAGATGGGGATAGTGTTATCTCCATTTTACAAATGAGGAAATTAAGGAACAGAGAGGTTAAATAACTTGCCCAAGGTCACACAGTTAGTAAGAGGTGGACCTAGGATTCAAACTGAGACAGTTTGATTCCAGAGTCTCCATTTTAACCAGCATACTATATTGCTTATATAGATTTGTGTAAATTTTACTTAGAGAATAATAAAAAATTATAGTTGCATGAGCACAAATGTATAAACTGCCAGTAATTTATTTCTCAATTATATTTTTTATCTCAAAACTATTTTTGCTAATATAAATGTTACGTCTTCTAACATTGTCAAGAGGCTTCTGCTTGGATTTGTTTATGAATATTGCATAATCAAGTACATGTATTACTCCTTAAGTTATAAGTTATATAATAAAAAATACATACTAGAGGGGGGTAAGAGATCAACCAAAGGACTTGTATGCATGCATATTAGCATAACCAATGGACACAGACACTGGGGTGGTGGGGGCTTGTCCTGGGAGGTGGGAGTGGCCGGGGAGGGGTCAATTGGGGGAAAAGGAGACAAAATACACTAGAATATTTGAATGTCTGTGTATTTCATTAAGAAGTTGCATCCAGCCCACTGATGGGCTGGACAGAATGAGGAGGGGTCCAGTGAATATCTATTAGACTTACTGAGTGCTAGCAAGAATTTCGGCTCTTTCAGTTCCCAAATGGTATTTTCCAGGTGAACCTTTGCAGTCCCTATTTGTTACTGAGAAGAGCAGTACTGGCTTGTTTACGTCAGCTTGTGCAGAGAGAGGCAGCTGAAGTTTCAGAACATGCTGTTACACTTGCTAAGGATAGCAGAGAAGAGTTGACTCCAGGTAATTCTTTTTATCAACATTATCTCCAACTCAAATGATTGTTTTAATCTTAAATCTTATGTGTAAACATGAGTTTTTAAAACAAAATTTGAAAGTGAATATATAATGTCTTAAACCTACTACAAGAGACAGTTGCTCACAAGATTATCATTCCAACCAGATGTTACTGGTTTAGAACAGTTGTTCTCAAACTTAGGCCCCCAAACCAGCAACTTCCACTTCACCTGGGAAATTATCAGAAATGCAGACTATTGGTCCCATCCCATATCTGCTAAAGCAAAAATCTGGGAATAGGCCCAGCAACCTGTTTTTGGTATTTTTATAATCCCTGTGTTAATGTATACTGAAGTTTGAGAGCCATTGGGTTTAGAGCAAGTTTTTTCACAGTAGTCCATTGAAATTGGATTTAGCCCTTAAGTAATTTATTATATGTGCCTTTCTTCCCCAAAAATCTCATTTAATAAAATTCACCATAGATGAATCTGCTTCAAATGAAAGGATTTTTAGGCCTCTTCTATATTTGAGAAATGAATTAAAGGATTTCTTAGCCAGTAAGATTTATTTTAAGTGTATATCCTTATATTTTAAAATTAAATAACCCAAACACACATATAAATTCAAACATCCTACAAAAATAGTAATGATATCATACGTGTGTGTGTGTGTGTGTGTGTGTGTGTGTGTGTGTGTAGTTTCCAAAGTGCTGTCACACTTTTAGGTTTAGGTTTCAGACCTAACAAAGCTTTCTAATATCTAAAGCTCTCAAAACTGTAATGTGTTTTACTCTAATGTTGTGCTTTTTAAATAACAGTTTTATTATTTAAACTTTTGCTCTGGCTTGAGTTAATCAACATTGCTGAACTAGTATGCTAGTAGTCATCAGACAGGTTGCACAACTCATTTGAAAACTGTTCTGTAATTACTTAACCTTCATCAAAAATATGTTAATCTCATAACTATGTGAGATATTCTCCCCAAGTGACCTTTGGTTTATATTCACCATTGAAATTATCTACATCTGTTGCTTTAGGCTTTGATTGTGTCCATATGCTGGTACATGTTCCTAGAATTACTAGAGGCCCAATGCACAAAAGAGTAGGCCTTCCTTCCCCCGGCTGCCAGCACCGGCACCCGGAAGCCGGGCTTCCCTCCTCCGGCCGCCCACAGGCACCTGGGACCTGGGCTGGCTTCCCTCCGGCCCCAGCTTCATCAGGAAGGACATCCAGAAGACGTCTGGTCTAATTAGCATATTACCCTTTTATTATTATAGATTGAATTGGCTATGCAAGTAAAATTATAGTAAAGAATTCATATCTAATTCCTTTTTTAAATTTTTTAAGTTTTCAAACTCATTGGAAATGTTTAAAGAAATGTACATTGAACACATAGATTCGCCTACTTAGTAACTTTATGACACTCATATCTTTTTCTCTCTTTCCATACATACAGATATATAAACCTTTTGCCAAACCATCTCAAAGCAGGTTGCAAACATCATGACAGTTTGCACCCCTAAATCAAGCATCCCTATGTAAAAGGCCTCAGTTTACATTTTCCAAGAAGGACATTCTCTTATATGACCACACATCATTTCCACACCTAATAAAATGAACAGTGATTTTAGTAACATCATAGAATATATACTTCTGACACAAATTTCCCGTTATTAAAAAAAAAGTCTTTTATGACTCATTCCTACACCCATCAACCCCACCCAAATTTAGGATTCAGTCATGATTCACACATTGCATTGGTTATTCTGTCTCTTTAGACCCCTAATTGGAAACATTCCTACCACTTCCTTCCGAACTTTAAAAAATCATTCCTCTTTTAAAATAGTCTAATAGTGGAAAAAACTTTAGAAAATAAATGCTTTCATAAATGCTAGGTGAGTTAAATCTTTAAGAGAAAATGTGTTCTTTTAGCATTTCCAGAATTATAGGAAATAGATGCTAGATCAAAGTTTATAGTTCTCCTTGAGGTGCTTTATTACTGAGAATATTGTATAGTAATTTATATTAATTTAGTAGTGTTCTTTAGTTCCTCAATGGCTTAGTTGTAGTAATTACACACTGTTCTTTATACAGTAGGTATTTTCTGTCTGAGTTTTACTCTAATGTTAATAAATTAAAACCTTTTCCTTACCAGAATAAGGAAAGCTTAATTAAGTATTGAATGTTAATTGGGTTAAATGTTTATCTAATTTAAGGAAAATATATTAATAACTCTCAATAAAGACTTGTCTTTCAATAACATTGCACAAAAAAATAACTTATTAGTACCGTGAATAACACCAAACTAACTGAATTAAAATAGACCTCAGTAGGTTAAGGCACAGTATTTGGACTAGTTCTTTAAAATATACTAGGACGTAATATTTTAATAACTACTGAATGTGTGTGCTTCTCATATGGCAGTTTTGTTTTCTGTATTACTTAGATCATCGATTTTCTTCTTGTCAGATGCTAACATCAGAGAAGTGGGCCTTGAAGGGGCATTACTGACCTTACTAGACAAAGAGACAGATCAGAGATTGTGCCGTGATATCAAAGAGACTTTAAATCATATGCTCACATCTATGGCAGTGGACAAACTTTCCTTTTGGTTAAAGCTTTGTAAAGATGTACTTGCTGCATCAGCAGGTAAGTACTAGCGACTACCAATTGAAATAATAAAATTGAAAGTAAAAATGTTATATAGAGTTGTTTGCCAGTGATGATTTATCAATCTTGTCTGAATAATTAGATTATAATGTTTGTGGCTTTCTTCAAATGAAGAGTCTAGTGCTAGTGTTTAAGTCTAACACGTAATAAGCCTGTTTTTTTATTGTTGTTGTCTTATATGACTTTCCTGTGTGAAACAAACTGAAACGTAGAGTCCTTATTTATGCTCTAAAAATGATGAACTAACCTATAATAGTCCCATCATTTGTTTTCATACATGCAATAAATATTTGAGGGATTGCCTCAAGTCAGCATAATAGAAAATTCATCAACGGTTATGACAATTTGAGCAAGCCAGTTTCTCCATTCTTAATAATGTTAGTTTCAAATAGTGTTTGAAATTAGTGTTATTTTCCCGTGTCTTTGCTAGTATAAGATAATTGTGAGTAAGTGTATTAGAATCTTTAAATTTTTATATCCTTTGAGTAAGAAATCCTCTCTCTAAAATCAATAAAAACATATTTTAAAAAAGAAAATTAAAGAAGATAGAAACCAATTCTGTTCTAGGTATTGTGCATATTTGATCTGATTTAACCATTTAATCATCCTATGCGTAGGCAGTATTATTCCATTTTACACAGAGAAATCAAGTCTTAGAAAGGTTAAGTAATTGCCCAAAGACACACAGAGATGGATTCAAACCTTAGCTTGCAGTATTTTAAAACCCAGCTTCTTACTATATTTCAGTAGCTCTCAACTCAGTTACTCAAATCTTATAATTTAATGTAGCTCTGATCTCTACAATTATGTGAAAGGGAGAAAGATACCATGAAGTCCTGGGATTTTTATTTATTTTTACATTCTTCACTGTCTACCTCGATTCTTAATGATCCTCTTCTCTTCCAGTGATTAAGACCTGCTCTTTCAATCATTATTTTCCACATTTCATTTAATGGTCTCTCCTATCTACTACTTAAGAACTTACAAGGACTTCTTTCCTTTAAAAGAAAATGTGTATGTGCATAGACAAACAGGTTGATTGCACTTTTCTGATATCTCACCTACTTTTTTAAATTTTACATTTATACTCTGAGCTCACTAGCTCAATTTTATTTTACCATTCTTTTTTAAAAAATATTTTTATTGATTTCAGAGAGGAAAGGGGAGGAAGAGAGAGATAGAAACATCAATGATGAGAGAGAATCATTTATCGGCTGCCTCCCGCATGCCCCCCACTGGGGACCAAGGCTGCAACCCCGGGCATGTGCCCTTGACCAGAATTGAACCCGGGACCCTTCAGTCCTCAGGCCGATGCTCTTATACACTGAGCCAAACCAGTGAGGTCTACCATTTATTCTTTATACCTTGTAGTTTAGCCCTGTCCCTTCTTATTAGGAAAACATCAGTTTCTGTTGACTTCTCACTCATAAAACAGGACTTTGCCATACTTTATTATCTGTCATAACACACTAAAAAAAAATGTTGACATACAAGATAACTTAAGAAAACCAAGTTGGTTTGTTTTTTAGCATTAGTTTTATTTTAACTAGAATTAGTAAGCTAACAGTATAAAGAGGAAATAATTCACTACTCAGTAAGTGGCTCTGGTTATCAGGGCAATGTGAGACTACAATGACAGCAATGGGTCTATTCTAACAAATACTTTCAGACATTGTTAGTGGATTCAGGAACCTTCATAAATCCATTCAAGGCCACAGTGTTAAACAGCATACCCAGTACAGTCCACTACACTCCCTACTAGAGAATTTTGATCTTCCTTAGCACAGGAATTAGTATCCTAGTATCTAGTGTCATGTTCAGTTTTTCATTTTGAATATAATTTGGCAACTTTCTTGCTTTGACCTAGATTGGTTCTAACAGCATTTCTTTAAATGCCACTGTTATATTTATTTAATAGGCATGATTACTTTACATTGTTAAAAGATGTATGATTGATGAACAGTAATTCTGGTCTGAATTTGAAGTCATTTGTATTCCTTCATAAATATATATTCAAATTGATTGTGATTACATGTACTCTTCCTTGATAAAAGATTTTACAGCTGTAACTTGTGTGGATACAATGCAAGAAGAGGAAGGTGATAAAGGGGATGATGCCTCAGTTCTGACCACCAGAAGTGATGACAGATCCCATCCTTTTACCAATCCCCGGTGGGCCACTAGAGTCTTCGCTGCTGAATGTGTCTGCAGGATAATTAACCAGTGTGAGAGTGCACACTGCGCACATTTTGACATTGCTTTAGCACAAGAAATGAAAAAAAGGGATTCAAGAAGTAAGTGGCGTAATAATGCAAAAAACAAATATACGTAGAGATTCTGTCTGCCTATATGTTTAATATTAAGTTAAAAGATAGAAGTGATAAAGGGGATGATGCCTCAGTTCTGACCACCAGAAGTGATGACAGATCCCATCCTTTTACCAATCCCCGGTGGGCCACAAGAGTCTTCGCTGCTGAATGTGTCTGCAGGATAATTAACCAGTGTGAGAGTGCACACTGCGCACATTTTGACATTGCTTTAGACAAGAAATGAAAAAAAGGGATTCAAGAAGTAAGTGGCATAATAATGCAAAAAACAAATATACGTAGAGATTCTGTCTGCTTATATGTTTAATATTAAGTTAAAAGATAGACCTAAAAGGTGGTCTTTATTCTTCCAAATCAGTTATGAAACTGACTATACCTTTACATAAACAGTAAGCATATATTTTTAATGTCTAAATACATTTTTAATTATTAAGCTTCTTAAATTGATATTCATAACTTGATTAATGGATTTATGGAATGAGTTAAGTTTATAGAGAATAATCATGTTCTTAGAAAGTAGTATGTGTGTTAGCTACTTCCCAAAATTTATTTTCTGAGTTATAACTTACAACAATTTTACGTGTAGATTATTTTGTTTCCATGGATATTACTTAGAAAACATTTGAGCCTATCTCAATGGAAACAGTTATAAGACCATTTTAACCTTTTATTCGGTTTCATTATTTTTACCTAAATATGTGTGTTATGGTTCGATGTCTGAATTTTTAATTTACTTCAGTACATGTTCAAAGGAGCAATGCCCATACCCGAATGCCTTGAAAATGTTCTTTACCAATCAAAAGAATGATAAAGCAAAATGTTTCTGTCAGCAGCCTGAGAATATGAATTAGGTATCTCTGTTTCAGTGATTTTTTTCAAGTAGCATTTATTGCGTCTCTTATTTGTGGTGAGCATGTGCTAGATCAGCCATGGGCAAACTACGGCCCGAGGGCCGGATCCGGCCTGTTTGAAATGAATAAAACTAAAAAAAAAAAAGACCGTACCCTTTTATGTAATGATGTTTACTTTGAATTTATACTTTTTTGAATTAGTCTCAAATATATTTAGGTAAAGATTACTTGTACCCTAAACATTTTACTGCTGGAACATTGTTAAATGATTTTCTTATGTTTTTCCCTGGTAGAATTATTATGCCAAACAATGTGTTGTAGGAATGAAAAGAATTTTTATTTATAACTAGAGGCCTGGTGCACAAAATCTGAGCTCTGGGGGGGAGGGAGGTTCTCCTCAGCCCAGCCTGCACCCTCTCGCAGTCCAGGACCCCTCATAGGATGTCGGCAGTTGGACATTCCTCTCGCAGGCCGGGACCCCTTCACTCTTTACCACCTGCCTGCTCGCTGCTCTTTACCGCTCGGGTTGCTGCTCTTTTGTGCTGCTGCGGAGGTGGGAGAGGCTCCCGCTGCCACTGCACTCATCATCCGTGGCTTCGCTTCTGGCTGAGCGGCCCTTCTCCTGTGGAAGCGCACTGACCACCAGGGGGCAACTCCTGCATTGAGCATCTGCCCCCTGATGGTCAGTGCATGTAATAGCAACCAGTCGTTCTGCCAGTCATTCTGCCGTTTGGTCAATTTGCATATTAGGCTTTTATTATATAGGATTTTATAGTGACTAATTTTTTCATATTCCCATCACCTGTATATGTGACAAGACATGCAGAAACAAGATAATCTAGTTCATTTAAAACACTACATAAAACTTTTTTATTTTTTATTAATCCTCACCCAAAGATATTTTTCCATTGATTTTTAGAGAGAGTATCAGGGTGGGGGAGAGACAGAGAGAAAAACATTGATGTAAGAGAGACACATCGATTGGTTGCCTCCTTGCACATACCCCAACCTGTGCTGGGGATTAACCCTGCAACCTAGGTATGTGCCCTTGACTGGAATCGAACCCGGGACCCTTCAGTCTGTGGGCCAATATTCTATCCACTAGCCAAACTGGGTAGGGCCATAAGACTATTTTTTTAAAGGAACATTGTGTTTTAGCTTCAACTTGACATAAAAAGAACATATTACTGACTAATTCATCAAAACCCAGTCTCCTAAGTATCTTCTAATGTTGAAGGTACCAATAGCACTCTTTTAAAGGATGATAATTCTGCCTTTGGTTTTTGAATAGCTGTAAAACTACTTCCTTTGGAATAGTGTTGTGTGTGTGAGTATTTACAGTGGTGGAGTATATCCAGCTTTAATGTTTTATTTAAAAAATGATAAAACAAAACAGTAAATCAAATCAGAGGTACTTAAAAGAAAGTCTAGATTATGAAATTAAATTAAAAACTTAACATAAATCTTAGCTCCAGCATACTCTTTTTCTTGATAAGATTTTTTTAATCTTATAGGTGACTTTTTGGTGCTGCATCTTGCCGACTTAATTCGCATGGCTTTTATGGCTGCCACGGATCACAGTGACCAGCTCCGTCTTTCTGGCCTTCAAACGTTGTTAATTGTTATTCGGCGATTTGCAACTATCCCAGAACCAGAGTTTCCAGGACACGTGATTCTGGAACAGTATCAAGCCAATGTAAGCACTTTCTGCAAGAGATGAATTATTAAACACCCAGATAAAAAGCCTATTAAACTAATTGGCATGTCACCTTTTAATACATAAATAAGTGTATATATCTGCTTATATATCACCATTATAATTAGTATTTAGAAAATGCATATGTTTGAAGAAGAAATCTTCATGTAAAAGCAAAATAGTACATAAAAAGGTCTTTTATAACTTTAAAGATTAATTTTAATAATTAACATCTTCATGGTAATTTGGGGAAATAAAGAACTTTAGTAATGAAACTTTTTACAAAATATCTGAATAAGCTTAAAATAACACTAAATCATTACTAAACATATTCTTTAGGCTACATGCATGTTCTGTTTGCATATCATTGTTCCTAGAGTACATATAACCACCTTCATTGTTTTTCTGGACTTAGAAAAGAGTTCAGGGTTCTAGTACTGTAACCTTTTTAACTGGTTGATGCATTGAGCCATTTGGAAGAACCAGTAAGATAACAGAATCATCACATTACATTACACCATTCATCCCAGAGTACCTCTCATTATGATTCAGAGGCAGCTTCTTTTTCTTTTTTTAATATACTTTTATTGATTTTAGAGAAAGAGAGAGAGAATCATCGGTCAGCTACCTCCCACACATACCCTGACATGCACCCCAACCAGAGATCAAGCCCACAACCAGGGTAGATGCCCTGACTGGGGATTGAACCCGAGACCCTTCGGTGCACAGGAGGACACTCAACCAACTGAGCCACACCAGCTAGGGCCAGAGACAGTTCCTGACAGCTAGCAGTTAGGAGACGAGAGCAGTTCACCAGTTAGCTAGCAATCTCCCATCATGTCTTCCCAGCTGGTGATGCCAATGTATGCTTGAGGAGAAAGCAAAAGGAAGGGAGTGGCAGTACTTAGAACTATCATATTAGTATAAAATATTACAATTCAACTTAATTAAAGGCAGCTCTGTTATATTTGTAGTCCTCTTAAAATTGCAAATGATAGAATAAATACAACTCAGCAGAAAAGAAAAATAGTTTTCAGAAATCATATTTGACTCTGCTTGGTTCCACACTGGCTTTATTCTCAAATTTGCTCTCTCCAAGTTCTATCAAGATGGTTCTCTAAGAAGCAACCAGATTCTTATAGAGATTGTGCTTTCCCAGTACTCCCAGCAAGTCTTAAGGGGAACTTTCATTGTCCCAGCATGGGTCTCTGGAGCCAGGCAGTGCTGTCAGCTCCATAGCAACAACATGGGCTAAGATTTGGGGAGAGAGAAGGTTCCGGAAAGGAAAATTGGGATGCTATTAGGTAAAAGCAAAGGACAATATACTAGGTAAACAAAAACAACAAGTGTTCTTCATAATACCTGCTATAAACAAATAATTTTAATAACATTAAAAACGGGAAGCTTGTGCTGTCTTACTTATTGACCTTGATATGTCATAAAATTTCTTGCCAGGTAGGAGCAGCACTTAGACCAGCCTTCACTTCAGAGACAGCACCTGATGTCACTGCCAAAGCATGTCAGGTAAATGCCTAAAAAGACAAAGCTTAACAAATAAAACCCTCTCTTTAGAAGCAATTCTCCAGTTATTATTTGATACCGGGGTTCTATATTATAGTTTTCTGTTACTTAATCTCAGCTGTTCCTTCTCCTTTACTTTTTAAATTTGGAGAACTTCCTCTCCCTTTAGTGTAACTGCATGGTAATCCAGTATATGGATAAGTCATAATTTATGGGTGACAAATAAATGGGGTTTTTAATGGTTTGCTATTTCAAATAGTGCTAGAGTGAATAGCCTTCTGCATAGATCATTTGACTGGATGCAAGGTTATCTGTAAAATAAACTCTCCAAAATTGAATTGCTGAGTTAAAGAGGATATTATAGGGGTTTACCAATTTCATCTCGTACCAGTAATGTATACAAGCAACTGTTGTCCATAGTCTGAGCAATTTTGTGAGTTGTCAAACATTCAGATTTTTGTGTGTGTGATGGAGTAAAAAGGGTGTATCAATATAGTTTAGATTTGTATTTCAAGTGAGATTGAATGCTTTTTTACATATCAAAGACCCATATAATATACCATTCTAAACAGGTATTTTTCTTGGAGTAGCTGTCAAAAACTCAAAATCCAGCCCTGCATGACCTGAAATTATTAAAAGCAGAACTAGCTTGAATTGAGTTAATTATAAACATAATAAAAGATTGGTTTTAGTCAGTTCTTTCAACTTTATTTTATTCAGTTGTATTTAGGAAGTGTTTGAGTGCCTTTGATACTCAGAGAATTGTTTCAATGTTGTACTGAGCCTCTTTTTTTTCTAACCAGAGGGTGTTTTGTGTGTGTGGTTTTTTTTAATTGATTTGAGAGAGGGAGGAAGGGAGAGAGAAACATCCATGAAAAAAAGAAATATTTGATTGGCTGCCTCCTGTACACCCCTTACTGGAGATTGAGCCCACAACCCAGGCATGTGTCCTGACCAGAATCGAACTGGCAGCCTTTCGGTGCACAGATGACACTCTACCAAGTAAGGTCAGGGCTGTACTGAGTTTTTATTTTTCAATCATTTTATTATATGTGTTTCTGCTGTAAGTCACTTGAAATTTTGTGACATGGGGCAGGAAGTGATTAAATAGATGGAAAAGGTAAAATAAATTTTCTCTAGAAGATAAATACCATGACACCTTGGAAAACCATAAACATTCCTGATAATTGAGTAAACTTTTTGCATTGGAAAATTATTAATTATGTTTATATTTTAAATTTTTAAAGAAAATTTTAATATCTTATTTCCCAAAGAATCAAAATCTTCTTTGGGGTTTTAGTGTTAGATGCTTTATCTTTTAAGAAAGTTACATTAAGTAACCACACAATTCAGTGTGTTTTTTTTAATATATATTTTTATTGATTTCAGAGAGGAAGAGAGAAGGAGAGACAGACAGAAACATCAATGATGAGGAATAATCGTTGACTGGCTGCCTCCTGCAACCCCGCACTGGGGACTGAGTCTGCAATCTGGGCAAGTGCCCTGAGCAGGAATCAAACTGTGACCTCCTGGTTCATAGGTCAATGCTCAACCATTGAGCCACGCCAGGCACAATCTCAAATTTTAAAGTAGTAAGATGAAATAATCAGGATTGAAGATTTAATTTAAATGTTAATCCAAACATTTATGAAAGTGGTACCTTCTGAATCTCTTTGATTCCATGTACTGATTAGTACTGGTTTCCTTGCTTCAACCTTAAACTTCATTTCCTTTTGAAATGCTGGCTTTTGATTATCATTATAAGCAGCTTCTCATTGGGTTTCTTGATAGCAAAGTGATTTCATTGACTAGATTCCTAAGATTTGGATGAGGTCTATTGAACTTACAGGAACATATTTATAATTTTTAACTGTAACTTCTTATTTTCTTAAAAACCAGGTTTGCAGTGCCTGGATAGCAAGTGGAGTTGTAAGTGACCTTAATGATCTCCGAAGAGTTCATCATTTGCTTGTTTCATCATTAACAAAAATACAGGCTGGAAAAGAAGCTCTAAGTCCCTTATATAATGAAAGTGCTTCTACCATGGAGATCTTAGCTGTGCTAAAAGCCTGGGCAGAGGTTAGTACTTCTTAATTAGTAATGGGAATTTTGGAAGTTGTTAATAAACAGCTTAGGCCATAAATTGAAATTAACTTTTTAAAACACAAATAAGTCCTTTTTTAAACATAACAAAAGGCTTTCAACATATCATTTATTATATGTTAATTGATATTTTGGCCAAGCATTCTAAAGTGTTCTTCATTGTCTGTTATCTGCTGCTGTTAGCAGGGGCAGTCAGTCCTGAGCCAGACAGACTTTATGATAGCCAATGAAAATTAATTTTTATTGAAATCTGAACTACTAGAAATGTGGGTTTGCCTGTATGTTCTTTTAATTCTATAATACATACTTTAATTTTGTATGCTGTTTTATAGATGACTTTTGAATATTAAATAATAAGTAATTTCCTTTTCTAAGATTAAGAAATCTTATACAAACAATGCTTAACTTTTCTAATCAGGGAGAAAGCTCTATTATTTTTAATTTACTATGGAAATGTTTAAGGGGATATGAAAGTGGTTATAATAGTGTAATGACCCCACTTATACCCATCAACCAGCTTTAGCAGTTACTAAACTTGGCCAGTCTGAGTTCATATATCATTTTAATGACTGTGTATAGTTTTACATTACAACTGAAAGAATTAATCAATATGAAAGAAAGGGTTTCCTCCAGTATAGCTAATATAACTAATTAAAACCTGAAGATTATAGAATCTCTTTTTTTTCATTATTTAGTTTTGACAAATCTTTTCTTAATTAATAAAACCAAGAGGTTTTTTTTTGGTTTTTTTTTTTAAAACAAGAGTTTTTTAGAGAGAGAAACATCGATTTGTTGTCCCACTTATTTATTAATTCATTGGTTAATTCTTGTATATGCCCTGACCAGGAATCAGACCTGCAACCTTGGCATTTCACGAGGATGCTCTAACCAACTGAGCGACCTGGCCAGGGCTATGGTTGTTAAATCTTGGTTAAGAAGTAGTTCTGGCCTTAGCTGATTTGGCTTAGTGGATAGAGCTTCGGCCTACAAACTGAAGGGTCCCAGGTTTCATTCTGGTCAAGGGCATGTGCCCGGGTTGCAGGCTCGATCCCCAGTATAGGGCATGCAGGAGGCAGCTGATTGATGATTCTCTCTCATCATTGATGTTTCTATCTCTCTCTCCCTCTCCCTTCCTCTCTGAAATCAATATTTATTTTTAAAAATAAAGTAGTTCTTGTCTGGCTGGAGTATCTCAGTAGTTGAGCATCATAGGAAGTTCATAATCTGCTATCTGAAATCCTTGGCTCCAGATAATAGTTGGAATTCAGATTTTGGAAGTATGGGGCAATATGTAATCTATAATCAAACACATTAATATATCTGTAATAAACTGTTTGAATTCACACTGTGTTGGATGAATACCCTCACATAAGTTCAGTCAGTTTTGCCACCAGATTAGTTTTCCAGAAATTTACATTTTTTTCAGTTTACTAGATCGTAGATCTGTAGATAAAGAGGTAGTACAATCAGTTTGTGTACTATGTTGAATACTTTAACATCCTATCTATAATAATAAAAGGGTAATATGCTAATTAGATCAGATGTTTTCCCACATGAAGCCAGAGCCAGAGGGAAGCCTGGGTCCTTGGTGCCAGAGGGAAGCCGGTGCCGGCAGCCAGGGGAAGGAAGGCCTACTCTTCCACGAATTTCATGCATCAGGCCTCTAGTAGTCCTATAAACAGTCCATGTTAAGTTTATGTATGTAAAACTTTTGGTAGTGATTTAGTGGTAACTTTGAAAGAAAATACTTTTAGTATTTCAGTCTACTGCGGTTCAGACATGGCTACCTGAAATCTTATGTTGAGATGGATTTTAAGGCCATAATAAGGCTTAGTGAGAAAGAGTGCTGAGATCATTTAGTGACAGCTATCATGATTGTGAAAGTACAGAGTGGCAGCATGTTTACCACGGATTTTTATCCCTGATGTTTCTCATTGGATCTCTCTACCCCATTTTTGTGTACTAGTATATGGTTACACATGTATAAACTTAGATATTACAATCCATTTCAGGTCCAGTATACTCAATGGTAAGTCTGCCTCCTCAGCAAGATAAAATACTATAGCACCTTTCAACAGGCACAAGATCTTCCTATTCACAAATTAATGTTTAACAGGTCTACATAAACGCTGTAGAAAGACATAAAAATAACAAACAACCTCTGAAGACTACCTCCTGTCCAGAAGAGAGTGGTAGAAATGGGTCAGACTCATCACCTGGACTGCTTGACTTGGTCCACACAGACCTGGGCACACTAAGTAGGCTCTGGCTTGCTGCGCTTCAGGATTTTGCTCTCCTAACTCTGCCTTCAGAATTTGCCTCCCAACTTCCTATTGAAGGTAAGAGGGTAAATGTTTACATAATTCCTAGAGTGACAATAACTTCTCAACGCTTTTCCTTTACTTAGCAGATAATGTTTATCTGAAATATTTTTCCCAGAATAATTTTCATTCATAGAATGAGCATGTGAGAGTTACCTCAGGTTAGACACCCTGAAGTTGATTGACTAGGTCATGAGGCATGTACATCTTAACTTGGCAAATTGGTCTCCAAAGTGGTTATAACTATTTATGTTACATGAAACAACATGTTTCTGTTTTTATGCCAGCTTTCTTTTTAATCACACTACCTGATATCAAACTAACCTACAAGGCCATAGTAATCAAACAGCATGGTACTGGCATAAAAACAGGCATATATGTCAATAGAATAGACTAGAGCAGTGATGGCGAACCTATGACACGTGTCTCAGAGGTGATACGCAAACTAATTTTTTTGATTTTTCTTTGTTAAATGGCATTTAAATATATAAAATATCAAAAATATAAGTCTTTGTTTTACTATGGTTGCAAATATCAAAAAATTTCTATATGTGACACGGCACCAGAGTTAAGTTAGGGTTTTTCAAAATGCTGACACGCCGAGCTCAAAAGGTTCACCATCACTGGACTAGAGAGCCCAGAAATAAACACATGCGTATATGGTCATGAATATTTGATAAAGAAGGCAAGATACAATGAGGTAAAGACCATCTACTCCAAGCATGTCAAACTCACAGCCTGCGGGCCGCACGTGGTCCATAACGAATATTTTTGTGGCCCAGCCAATATAACTGTGAGCAGTTATTTACACTTATGAAGGGAAATAAGTCTCCTGTGTGGTCCAGAATTACTGACGTTCACCTTGGGTCCGTTTTGAAAGTAATCACAGCGAACAAGATTTCCCCCCAAGTAGGAAAGATAGTAGCAGAGAAGAGATGCCAAGTGTCAGGAAGAAAACATTAATTTTATCATTGCTCTTGTTCTTTTTTTTATACTATACTTTTCAAAATCTGTGTTTCTATGAAAATTGAGGCTTTTATTTTTTTGCGGCCCACATAAATTTTAACCTTGTTTATTTGGCCTGTGTTAGCCTTTGAGTTTGACATGCTTTGTCTACTCAATAAATGGTATTGGAAAAATTGGACAGATAGACGAAAAAAAATTAAAAGAAACATAGGATGTTTCTGTTTCACTATATCTCCCCACCATTATATGTTATACTTAATTTTTAACAATCTGATGGGTGTGAAGTAGTATTTCATAGCTTTATTATTCCTCCTGAAACTGTTTGCTTCCCCTTTTTTGTAGGTGGTGCTTTCTATACAGCAGAGACTAGTGAAAATGCAAAATTGCATTATAACAATTCGTGGGCGCTTATCCTCCATGCTACAGCACTGTGGCTTACAAGCACAGGCTTCGTCGTTGCTGACCCAGATGAAGGAGCATCCAATCTCTCCAGGCCTGTAACACCAACTTCCATGTGTCAGGGATCATCATCTGGGGCTATAGCAAAGTCCCCTGAGGATGTCTACTCTGATAGATTCCATCTTATTTTAGGTCAGTAAAAGAGCTTCCAAGCTTCCAACCCTACAGAGTTTTTCTTGAATTGTGCCTCGCTGCCTGTCAGCTCTTTTTGGCTGTATTAGGTGTTATAGTCTTGATATAACTAAGTAAATTTGTATAATTTTATAAAATTGCAGGTTTAATTGTTAAGTCTAGAATTCTATTATAAGCTGACTTTAGATCAAATTGAATTGTAGAAATTGCAAGAGAAGCCTAGTTCTTTCACAGAATTTTTAAAAGACCCATGTGGTATCTACAGCTGTACTGAGGGGTCATTCCTCTTCCCGTATTCTAAAGAATTGCATGGTATTAGAAAAATATGCTCAAAGGTACAAAATTGCAAACAGATATTTAATGTCAAAGATAAATGAGATTTTTATATTTATGAAGTTTAACACTTCAGTTTTTCTTTCCTGGAACTTTATTTTTAAAGTAAAGTATCTTTCGAAGGTACAGTGAGTTTCTAGAATAAATTGAATCAGTGGTTTTCATATTTTATCTGTTTCTTTCATTACCTATAAAGAAGTTTTTGATTAAATGAAATGTGAGGGGTTTGTTTTGTTTTGTGTGTGTGTGGATTTTTTTTTTAATGTGAGGGTTTTAAAGGTTATTAAATTAAGTAAGCTTTTTGGGTCATAGAGTTTCTATTCCTTTCAAGGCCAGACATGACCAGATTTCCTGTATCATTGGTATATTAAAATTTTGTTTCCATTTGTCTTGACATGAGAGCTTTTTGAAAAATGACTTTCATAGAATGAAGGATAGCGGAGTTACTATGAGTATAAGCCGTGCAGTTCAATTACCTCAGTTCACATTCTTGATGTACCCCATTGTAACTGACCTTGCGCAGATTAAATTGCTTAAACTCTATGTGTTCATTTTGTTCTCTCAGAAAAAGTGCTAATAATAGTACCTACTTCCTCAGGTATTGTGAGAATGAAATGAAAATATATGTGCAAAGTGCAGAGCCTGATACCTGGTAATCACTCAACAAATTTTAGTCAGAATAAAGTTATGAAACTCTGCATGTTACATTCTCTGGGACAATTTGTTGTGATTTTTACATCTTTTATTGCAATTTTATAACAACTACACAGTAGTGCACAAGCCTAATGAGATTATTCTTTGTGTACATGCAGATGAAAATAAACTATTAAAAGACTTGCCTTATCACTTAATTGTTTAGAGTCCTCAATTTATTGTTGCTTGTTTGCATTACCTTCTTGCTAAGCTTATTTATACATCTTACCAAAATGAAAAATGAATTTTTAATTTCATGAGCTAAGACTCTCAAAGAAGCCTCTGTCTTTTTTTTCTGCTTTTTACAGGAATCAGTGTGGAATTTCTGTGTTCCTTGCGCTCAGATGCAACCATGGAGAGCATTACTGCTTGTTTACATGCGTTACAGGCCCTTCTAGATGTTCCTTGGCCCAGATCTAAAATTGGCAGTGATCAGGTGATTCGTTGTTTTTTGGTAGGCTTCTGTAGATATCAAAGAACAGGAACAGAAACATGTTCGGGTACTACAGCAAACAGAATGAACACAGAAGTAAAAAGAAAACTAAACAGCTGCACAGCTAGGCCTCAGGACTGGAATGCCGTCAGCAGCTGTGCTGACCTGGGAACAATCATGCTTCTGACTGCCGCTTTCTGTCTCTGCCTCTGCTGCACTTCTCTCTGCTGCCACCAGCTAACCACTCTGTATAGCAGCTCTTCTGTCAAACTTCTTCGATGATGGGACAGTTCTGATAGTCATTGTCCAGTATAATAGCCACTAGCTACAGGTGGTGTTCCTTCTTTGCCTTTTTCTGCTTCAGTACACCCTGGCTCCTCACATACATCTGTATTTTATATTCCATTTCCTTAAGAGAGAACCTTCTTGGTTCATTTGGCTGCGTTACAGGCCCTCTGTAGCCTATTACAAAGTATTCCTGTTGTCTGAGTTCTCCCTCCAGGTCTTTTTAAGAGACTACTGAGTAGCCTATAGGTGGAGTCAGGCGCTAATATCTGACTCAGTTGTGACCATGGTAAAAGGATCACTGTACAAAGTATGGCACTTCCTTTAACTGCTTTCCCAAGAGCAACTCTGCATTGGGCAGGCACCCTCAGCATCCGGTATTACCAGTATATAAAATTCTTATCATTGTCTCTTGGATGTTACGAAACATGGATGGTATGATTTCCTCTCTATATACGGACTATTATTTACCTTATTGACACTATCATTTTTTAAGTTTAAGGTATTAATCAGGTTTCTACCTGACTTGGATTGTATTTGAATAAATTTTAAACTTTTTGTGCTCATTTATTCTGCATCTTAAAACAAGTATTATAATGATAGGTTTACTCTGTTATTTTCAAAGATGAAAGAAAGCCACTAGAGTAACTACTAGAAAAGAAAGGGGGAAATGAAGTATTATTTGTCCGATGTATTTTATTTTTTAGAGAGAGATACATTCTGTGCTTATTATTCACTTTTAATGTCATACTTTTCCATTATTCTCTGTTATTACCAAAAAAATACACCATATAAATCTGAGACTCTACATGGCAGTCCTTGTGGGGTTTTTTAACCAAATTTCTCATCTTGTTTTGGAAGTTTCCCTTTCTGTTTTCCCACTTTAGGACCTGTGTGCAAATGACCTTTTGTCACAGTGCCATCTTCCACAGATCGGACAAAAACCAATCTGGAGTTGGTTTAAAGTGGAGCAGGTGTTACATAACTTTATTGCACTAACACCTTTATTCTTTTGTGAACAATTTGTTAAAATCTCTTTTTCTGGATTTTGTCATAGAATTTATTTAGCACTGGTTTTTGTGGGGGGTTTTTAAAGAAAGTATTTCCAATGCAATCTCCCCTAAATGTTTTCCTATGATAGGCCTTGGGTATCGAGTTGTTGAATGTACTGCATCGAGTAATTTTGACCCGAGAATCACCTTCCATTCAGTTGGCTTCACTTGAAGTGGTAAGACAGATTATATGTGCAGCACAAGAACATGTGAAGGAGAAAAGACGAAGTGCAGAAGGTGAATGTTAACCCACAATGCCAAATTAATCATGTAGCATCATTATTTTTTAAAGTATTGCTTATGTATCTATGTCATTCTGATAATCTGTTATGTGTAGCACAAAAGAAACATCTCTAGGCATGGCTATAAGTTCTCCCATTCACCTTTACATGTTAGCTTGGATGTTGTCCATAGCCAAACTACTGCTCCTTGAGAAAATGAGAATTTTTAACAAAACCCTGGAAGCGAAAAAAATCTCTTATTCTGATTGAGTACTTACACTAGCTGTAAGAGTTCACTAACGTACATGGAAAGAGCAACTAACATTTTTTAATGACTTAGATTTTGCAAAGTGATTAAATGCCTATTTACAAGTCTAATTCAGTATTGGTGAGTTGATTATTCAATATTACATTTGACTACATATTACAGAAAACCCAACATAACAGTGGATTTAAAACTCAAGGACTTTTAAAAAAAAAAAAAAAAAAAAAAAAGCCGAAACCGGTTTGGCTCAGTGGATAGAGCGTCGGCCTGCGGACTGAAAGGTCCCAGGTTCGATTCCGGTCAAGGGCATGTACCTGGGTTGCGGGCACATCCCCAGTAGGAGATGTGCAGGAGGCAGCTGATCGATGTTTCTCTCTCATCGATGTTTCTAGCTCTCTATCTCTCTCCCTTCCTCTCTGTAAAAAATCAATAAAATATATTTAAAAAAATAAATAAATAAAAAATAAAAAAATAAAACTCAAGGACGTATTCTCTCATCTCTCGCACGCGCCCTGACCGGGAATTGAACCTGCCACCTTTTGGTGTGTGGGACAACACCCAACCAGCTGAACTACCTGGCCAGGGCGGGGTTCACATACTTATGAGCACGATGTTAACGAGAAATTTTTTTTTTTTAGCGAGAGAGAGAAACATTGATTTGCTCTTCCACTTATTTGTGCATTCTTTGGTTGATTCTCTATGTACCCTGATTGGGGATTGAACCCACAACCTTGGCATTTGGGGACGATGCTCTAACCAACTGAGCTACCTGGTCAGGGCCAACCAGAGAATATTTTAAGGCTGAGAGGATTACCAAGGATTTCTTTTGATTCGTCCCAGTAAGAAGTCATAATAAAGACAACTACTTTTATTTAATACCTAAGACTTTTGTCATTTAAATGTGTGGCCTACAACACCAGTGAGTTAAATTGCCATCTGCCAGAAGCAAAGTAAATACAAAGAAAAGAAGCGTTTATTCAACCCTATTCTTTCTTTCTTTTAGTTGATGATGGGGCTGCTGAAAAGGAAACCCTGCCAGAATTTGGAGAGGGAAAGGACACAGGAGGACTTGTGCCTGGGAAATCTTTGGTTTTTGCAACACTGGAATTGTGTGTATGCATTCTAGTTAGACAGCTCCCAGAACTAAATCCTAAATTGACAGGTAGCCCAGGAATAAAAGCTACAAAGCCACAGATGCTGTCAGAAGATGGAAGTAGATTGGTTTCAGCGGCGTTAGTTATCCTCTCTGAACTTCCCGCAGTGTGCTCTCCTGAAGGTATGCTGTGGTGTGTGGTTGCTTTACTGGACCTGGAAGGAGAGAAATGGTTTTGATAGGTAAAGGAGATAATAGTTGCTCATCCTTTTCTCATTAAAACAAATCTGACCTAAAGGTTTGGGTAATGTTATTAATCCTCAAAGATGAACATTACATCCTAGTAATTTGTTTTACTAAAAGGGTGTAAATAGACAGCATGTACTGCAGATACGTTTTTTTATGGTTGACAGTATTTTAAATCTGTCAGTGGCAGTTACTCACTCTTGGGCTTTTTTTTTCTTTTTGTATACAATATCCAATGGACTTCCCCTACCTCAGTAATGACAGAAGTTTGTCATCATATCCACTTCTATTTGGAATCAACTCCATTCTTTTAGTACAGCATTTTAAGGCTCTCCATAGGGCTCTGCTGAGTCACTGCCTCCTCTTCATTCCTTCTGGGAGAATTTTAAACCCAGGAGGCTTTATGCTCATCCCTGTACTTTGCTATTGTCCATGGTGTTATATGATCCCGTCCCTTCTCTTCTTAAAATTTTGCATTTCTTTGAAGTTCAACTCCATATGTCTTATTTCCAATGAAATTTTTTTATCCTCTGGGAAATCTAGCACATAATAGGTACTCAGCACTTAATACTTTTCAATTGGTAAGCATATTTCTGCTTAAATGTGTCTTGACCAACTTATGTGCTACCTTATTTTTAAAGTGACTTTAAATTTCAGTTTGAATTAAAACCTATATTCCTTGTTCTCACACACTTCCTTTCTGCCACACCAAGAGTGGCATAAAAAGTGACTAGCAGAGGACAAGGGGTAAAAATACACTATACAAGTTTTGTTGAGTAGCATCTGGGAAAATTGACCATTTTAGCTTTAGTCTCTTTCATTTTAAACGTAATTGACTTTTTAACTCCTTTAGTAGCCGTTAAAACTTTAATATTTTGTGCTGAGTGGATTGCTACAAATTCCTTGAAAAAAGTTTAAAATGAAGTCAGATGGGCAGTGCCAATGGTTTTGCAGCATTGTGAATATACTTAATGCTGCCACATTGTACACTTTAAAATGATTAAAGTGGTAAGTTTTATATTATGTATATTTTACCACAATAAAAAACAAATGAAAATAAATTCGACATTTGCCAATTTCCAAGTAAAACAAAATAAGACTGCAAAAGATACTGTGATACAATTTAAATAACATTTTCAATTATAACCAAAATACAGACAGTCCTCGGGTTACATTGGACTCGACGTACATCATTTCGTGGTGTGAAAATCGCATTACGTCACGCCATAGGAACGGATCTCCGATGTAACCCGAGGACCTACTGTAGAATCCAGTCTTTCTTTTAATTTATTTTTATTGATTTTAGAAAGGAAGGGAGAGGGAGAGAGAGATAGAAACATCAGTGATGAGCAAGAATAATTGGTCAGCATCCTCCTGCACACCCCACACCAGGCATCGAGCCCATAACCCAGGCATGTGCCTGACTGGGAATCGAACCGTGACCTCCTGGTTCGTAGGTTGCTGCTCAACCACTGAGCCACGCCAGCTGGGCTGATTCAATCTTTAAAATCTAAAGGTTATTTAAATTATCTTAAAAGTTATAGTTCTTTATGAAAAATAATCTTAAAAGCAAGAACTCTTTGACATTGCCTTATCACTGATGATTTCTTTTTAGGAACTATATACATAGACTGAAATACAGAGTATTTTTTTTGAAATGTATCTTACAGGAAGCATCTCAATTCTCCCTACCATACTGTACCTCACAGTTGGGGTCCTGAGAGAAACTGCTGTGAAGTTGCCTGGGGGCCAGCTATCTTCCACAGCTGCAGCTTCCCTGCAGGCTCTGAAGGGAATATTATCTTCTCCCATGGCCAGAGCAGAGAAGAGCGAGGCTGCTTGGACTGACCTTCTCCGCAGTGCTTTAACAACAATTCTTGACTATTGGGATCCAGGTAATTAAAGTTTTTTGGAAGCTCTTGTTTTAAAAATCAAGAGGGACCATTTTTTGAGAAGCTGTTGACTTGATTATGTTTGGTAGTCTCACCTGAAAGAGACCATATTTATTACACAACATGGTTAGAGAACGTAAGTGGATAGAAACATCTGTGTTCTCATTTTAGTATCTTTAACCTGTAATACAAGTAAATGAATGGCAGCCTGTATGGTAAGTTGACACGAGAGACCTTCAAGTGTAATATTGTGTTAATTTCAAAATACAGTATGATCTATGACTAGCTGACAGAACTTTTTACATGCATAGTATACTGAAAAGTGCATAAGCTACCTACGAATTATAAATAAGACCAATCTGCCCAGCCAGTGTGACTCAGTGGTTGAGCATTGACCTATGAACCAAGAAGTCACCGTTCATTTCCCAGTTAGGGCACATACCCAGATTGTGGGCTCAATCCCCAATAGGGGATGTGCAGGAGGCAGTGGATCGCTGATTATCTCTCATTGATGTTTCTATCTCTCTCCCTCTTTCTTCCACTCTCTGGAGTCAGTAAAACTATATAAAAGAAAAAGACCAATCTGGTTCATATACTCACCTTAGCACTTAATAGCTAACTAACTAGCCAAGTTACCCAACTTCTCTGAGCCTTAGATTTCTCATTAACAAAATAAGGATATTAAGTTGCAGGAAATGTTAAGGCAGTAACATAATATATGAGAAGCATCTCGCTTATTACCTGGCATATATCAATAAATGATAGCTAGTATTATGTTCAATGTCCATTAAAATTTGTTTGCTCTTGTTATGTTCATTTGTTTGCTCTTATTATTATGTTCATTTTCAGCATATGTTATAGTGATTGTAAGAAGTCTTTAGACAAATTACAAATTATTTCCACTTTTCTTATTCTAGTAAGGATAAACGTCACAGTTCACTATATTCTATTTCATATGATGAAAAGGTTTCAGTTGAATTCAGCATTTATTCACCTCCTATTTTGTACCTAGAGTTGGAAATCTAGTACCTGTAAATTACTGCAGGGTATAATTAATAACATAAGTTCTCCTTGAAGGTGACAGTAATGTCTTAATAATCGCTCGATTTCTAGTACACTAAAAAGAAAGAGATTAACTGGCAAAAATTAGAGTAATCAGCTCTGAGTAAATGAGGCAGAGTGTCACAGGTAGGGTTCTCTGGAAGCTCATTCTAGGATGGAGTTTGGGGAAAAGGGGCTTTATTAAGGAACCAAATATGTGAAAGGAATAGGGAAAAGCAATTTGGGGCAAATGAAGTCACACTACAGTGCAGGCCCTCAAAAGTGCAATGAACCTGAGAGCTCTAGAGATTGCCCATCAGAGTGTCCCACATAGGACAGAAATGGCCTGGCCTTGATCCCCAGATGTGGATGGCCCAGGAAGGATGTGATTGCAGTCAGGGCAACTCAGTAGCTAAGGCCAACTCTGAAGGAGTGGCTGGGCAGCACCTTTTCCAACTAAGGGGTACACCTCCGTATCTGCCACAGAAGGCTTCTCAGAAGAATCCATTTCTTAAAGGATTAGAGACATTATAGGTAGGGATTCCAGGCACAAAATTTTGATCAAACACCTGGAAACAATGTAAGTAAGTACATTTGGGGACAGCAGATAGAGAAATGAGAGAATGTGGGTTTGGGGGGGAAGAGTAAGAAGGTGGTGAATGATGAATTAGTAGAAAAAGATATGCATTGAATGGTATTTAGGGCCAAAGGATGGAAGACTTGGCATGATCTCAGTGGTATTGCTTTTAATATGCATGTGAAATTAGGGTTTTAAGGAGAGTAAAGTGATTTGCATTTCTAAAGAATCATTCTGGCAGCAGTATAGAAAAGAGAGCAAGATTGTTGGAGATGAGATAGTAGCAATAAGGATAAAGAGGAATAGAATACTGAAAACTAAAATACTAAGGCTCTACTAACAGAATTTACTGATAGTTTGGTTTAGGAGTTGAAGGGTAGAGTGAGTAGAGCACTCAGTACCATGAACAGAAATACCATGGTGAGCATTTTCAGGGGAATATACTGAAGTTAAGTGTGAATTGCCTGTAGGATAGTCAAGTGGAACAGAATATATAGAGTCTGGAGTTCAAGAAAGTAGTCTGCACTAGAGGTGATTGTAGACTACCTGTATTAAGCAGTTATTGGTGCAACCTATTGGATGGTTGAGATCACCCAACTTTAGTTTACAGAGCAAGATGGGAGGAGATTCAGAAGAGAATGCAGTCACAAGCAAAAAGAAAGCGAAAGTGGTCAGAAGTGTAAAATACAGTGTTGAGGTACAAAAAAAGAGGTGAGGAAGGGGGAGGTTCAAAGTATAGGCTCCTCTTGACAGGAAGAAGAAGGTAGAGATGAGGTTGGAGCTGGAAGTTTTAGGGAGGGAAACATGCCCCTATCTAGGCAGGAAATAACATTAACTGAATTTTAAAGACTTAACCTCTACCAATGAGAGCAAAGGAAAAAAGAAAAGGACCAAAACACTATGTCCAAATTTTTATGTTGACAGTGATTGTGAGCATGCCTCTTTCATCACATACAAAAAGATGTGTTTTGTTGTGTATCAGGGAATGAGGTTAGGAACTGGAGGATTTAGGTTGGCTACTGAGAGAAATTAAAGAAGCAGCTGATCATGACAGGAAAACCATTTGCTACATAACAAATTATTGGCTTAAACATTATCTGATAGTTATGGGTCAGGAATTCAGAGCAGCATAGCTGGGAATTTCTGGCTCAGGGTCTCTTAGGAGGTTGCTGTTAAGATGTTGGCAGGACTGCAACTAGAGCATCCACTTCAGAATGACTCATTGACTCAGTCAAGGCTGATGGCAAGAGGCTTCAGTTTCCCTCTGGCTGTTAGCAGGAGGCCCCACTTCCTTACCGCTTGGGCCTCTCCTTGGGGCGAATGCTAAGGGAACCTTGCATCTATCCTAAATAAAAGAGAGGGGGCTGTAATTGGAAAAGAAAAAAGAATGGGAATGTAGTCATGCACTGCATAACCACATTTCCATCATTGACAGACCGCATATACAGTGGTGGTCCCATAAGATTATAATTGATTATAAGAAAAACTTTTTTTTGCAACGTTATAAGAAAAGGCTGGACCAGTCTATGATGTTGAATTGACTGTGAGTTCTGGGTGGTTTCATTAAATAAATGAGGAGGAGACTGGCTCAGGATGCTGTCCACCAGAGGCTGGAGCCAGAAGTTGGCCAGAGATCAGGAGGAGTGGCCTGGGGCAAGGGACAGCCACCACACCCACCCCTGCTTGCCCCTGCACTCACAGACTCACTTCCCTTCCTTCCATTTATCTTTGTCTCTCTTTCCTCCCATTCCTGTTCCTCTTACAAACTCACTTCCTTTTCCTCCGTTTCCTCATTATCTTTCCTCCCAGCCCCATTCCTCTCCCTTTTATTGTATCTCCTCTCAAGTTTTATCTCTTTGATCTCTGCTCTTCCTCTCTCCCCTTCTCTTCCTTCGCTCTCTCCCTTCCTCCCTCCCTCCTCCTGACTTCTCTCCCTCTGAAGGTGCCTCCCTCAATAATCCTCCCCCTGATACACACATACACACACACACTATCTTTTATACCGAATTTTTCTGTAACTTTTCTAAATTTAGATACATAAATATTTACCATTGTGTTACAGTTGCTTACAGTATTCAGCACCGTTGCATGTTGTACAGGTTTGTAGCCTAGGAGCAATAGGCTATTCCATCTAACCCAGGTGTGTAGAAGGCTCTACCATCTAGGTTTGGGTAAATGCACTCTATGATGTTTTCAAAAGTAGCAATCCAGGGGGAAGGGGGGACGGGGGCTGGAGGGAGGGTAGCAGTCCATTCTTATGCAAGTTAATGAGTTGAATTTGGCTCTCCTTTTCAAATAATATTGATTTTTCAATATTCAATATTTAGCAGGTTAATTAAAATTATTTAATGAGACTTTGACTTTGGGGAATGAATTACATCTAATAGAAAATTCCTTTAAGTAATTGGTGGTGAAGGGGACCAAAAGTTCTGCTTTTTAGGGTATTGATTTTCAAGTTGGTTATTAAGAAACAAATTACCTGTAAATGGCTCATTCTCACTTTTGAAATCTAAGATCTCATCCCCTCATTTTCTCCTTTGTCCAAAATGTCATATATACCCAGTTTTGTCTCTGTATTTGGAATTTTCATGCTTAATGTGAATTCCCTGTGCATATGTATTAAGATTTTATTTTCTCCTGTTAATCTGTCTCTGTTAATTTGGTTATTAGCCCAGCCAGAAGAATTTAGAAGGTAGAAGGACAATTACTACTTTTTAGCCTCCCACAGTGGCCTATGCAGGAATTTTCAAGTTTTTTCTCTACTGTTAAGAAATGGTATATGTAGCAAAGTGCTAAAGGATTTTCACTTGACACATGTATTATCAATATATGAATACTTTAAACTTAACAAAGAAAAAAAATTGTCAAAGCATTTCTGTATTGCTCTACAATAAAGATAGTAATAAAATGGATAACACACATTGAGTATTATGTACAATGTGCTATTTTAATGCTTTACATAGATTAACTCATTTAACCTTATAAATGTAAGTCCTTTTCTTACTCCCATTTTACAGATAAGAAAGCTGAAGACAGGGTTAGATATCCAAGGTCACACAACTAGTAAATGTGTATTCCTAGTAAATATATGTATTTACTGATGTCCTTACCTGTGAAGATTATCATTGCTTTGGTAATTCTTGATTCTAGAATACTTATAATGCACATTTTAAAGCCTGAAACATTTGCCAGGAGTTTTAAAGTCAATCAGTGTTTACCGTCTATAACTGGAACAAAAGAAATTGTTACTACCAAACTAGAGATAGCTTCACACGGACAGTAAATATAGAAATATTAGGATCTGTTTCTCATATATCATTTTCTCTTTAGTAGATGGAACACACCAAGAACTTGATGAAGTCAGTCTGCTTACTGCTATCACAGTATTTATTTTGTCTACCAGTCCAGAAGTAACTATCATCCCATGCCTTCAAAAGCGCTGTATTGAGAAATTTAAAGTTACTCTTGAGATTAAAGATGCTATGGTAAGTGTCTTTAGCAGAGAGATGTTTGTGATAGGAATATATTTAGGCTTTTGCAAAATTTTTCTTTGATTTTTGTTGACTCTAACAAGAAGTATCAGACTAAAATTTTTATATATAGGTTTGGGGTGACATATTCTTGGGGTAAAAACACCAAATAAAAATAGTCTTATTCGTTGGCCCTGAGGATAGAGCATAACTGGAAAAAGATAAAGATTTTTTTTTTTAAATCAACAAAAAACTGCCTGGCCAATGTGGCTCAGTGTTTAAGCATCGACCCAAGAACCAAGCGGTCACCAGCTCGATTCTGGGTCTGGGCATGAGTTGTGGGCTTGATCCCCAGTAAGGGGCATGCAAGAGTCAGCCGCTCGGTGATATTTCTCTCGCATCTATATTTCTATCTTTCTACCTCTTTCCCTTCCTCTCTCTCTAAAAATCAATAAAAGCATGTTTTTAAAAAATCAACAAAAACTAAATTTGAAATAGGGGCATCTTAAAATTGACATATTTCTAACTCTTTTTCAAGGGACATTTGGTATTATTATAGTGGATTTTCTTTTTGTAGAAAAAAAAGAAAGGCTTCAGCACATGCCTTTATTTATTTGTTTGTTTATTTATTATTGGTTTGAGAGAGAGAGAGGAAGAGAGAAACACTGATTTGTTGTTCCACATATTTATGCATTCATTTGTTGCTTCTTGTGTGTGCCTTGACCAGAGATCGAACCTGCAAACTTGCACATCAGGACAATGCTCTAACCAACTGAGCTACCCAGCCAGGGCTCCAGTACATACCTTTAGTGCAGTGATGGCGAACCTTTTGAGCTCGGCATGTCAGCATTTTGAAAAACCCTAACTTAACTCTAGTTCCGTGTCACATATAGAAATTTTTTGATGTTTGCAACCATAGTAAAACAAAGATTTATATTTTTGATATTTATTTTATATATTTAAATGCCATTTAACAAAGAAAAATCAACCAAAAAAATGAGTTTACGTGTCACCTCTGACACGCGTGTCATAGGTTCACCATCACTGCTTTAGTGTATGATCATGAAATAATGGGACCCACTCCAAAAACAGTACACACAAGTTGATCCCATTGCTTTATGGTCCCTTCATTTGCTGAATTAATTTCCTAGTCCTTTATGTGCTACAAAATAAGTTTGTAGCAGATGATTACAACTATTTCTTTTTTTTTTAACATATTTTTATTGATTTCAGAGAGGAAGGGAGATGGAGAGAGAGAAACATCAATGATGAGAGAGAATCATTGATCGGCTACCTCCGGCATACCCCCTACTGGGGATCAAACCTGCAGTCCGGGCATGTGCCCTTGACTGGAATCGAACCCAGGACCTTTCTGTCTGCAGGCTGACACTCTCTCCACTGAGCCAAACCAGTTAGGTCACAACTATTTCGACTCCTAAAGTATAGGAACCAGATTTTCTCTCAGAAAAATTTAATCGTCCAAAGACCACCACAATTTATTGAATAAAGGATGACTTACATGCAGTAAGTCCTCATTTAACATTGTTGATAGGTTCTGTGGCTTTAAGAAAAATGCTGTATAAAGAAACCATTTTACCATAGGCTAATAGTAAACAAGAGTTAAGTTCCTAAAGTATCTCATCAATGTTACAACAAATGACATTATTTGAGCACCTGCTGTATTTGATGTATAGTCATCTCCTTTTCTTCTGTTCTTTTTGTTGCCTACAGCCTTGCAGGAGCTTTAGTTAGCTGTCTCAAAATGATGGCTCTGATATGTGATGACACATAATTAATATGGTCTAGACATGGTTCCTTAAGACCATGACATTTGAATTTAAATATATGTGATTTTTTAAGACATTTTCTGAAATCTCCAAAATATTTTTCAAGTTTGTGTGTTTTAGTTTAATTTTGGTATGAGATTATAGAAGGGCATATGAGGGGGAAATGGAAACTACAGAAAAGAAGAAAAATTAACCATTACAATATATTGAATAAAGGATACAACAGGGGCCCTAGCCGGTTTTGTTCAGTGGATAGAGCGTCAGCCTGCGGACTGAAGGGTCCCGGGTTCGATTCCGGTCAAGGGCATGTACCTTGGTTGCGGGCACATCTCCAGTAGGGGGTATGCAGGAGGCAGCTGATCGTTGTTTCTCACTCATCGATGTTTCTGACTCTCTATCCCTCTCCCTTCCTCTCTGTAAAAACTCAATAAAATATATATATATAAAAAAAGGATACAACAGGGAAAGCAAGTGTTCATATCCTAGTGTACGTATTCACATGCCTGTCCCCAGTCCAAAGTGTTGCAGCCACTTTGTTAGCATGCAAGTTTGAATACCTTTTACCATTTGGACTTCCAAAATTAAAGATAAATTTAAATACCTTTTTAGGAATTTTTTAATTAACTTTTTAAAATTTACTTTAAAATATACATTTTAATGTAAATTTATTTACAGTTCATACTATTTTTGTCTCTCACTTGATTAGGTACAAATCAAGACCTACCAGCTCCTACTTTCCATTTTTCAGTATCCGAATCCAGCTGTTTCCTACCCTTACATTTACTCTTTAGTCTCCTCTATTGTGGAAAAACTACAGGAAATAGACAAAAAAAATCCTGAAGACACCACTGAGCTTCAGATCTTTCAAGAAGGTATAAAGGTGTTGGAAGCACTGGTAACCATTGCTGAAGAACAACATCGTAAGTGTCAGCATGAAGTTCATATTAAATCAGAATCTGTCTAAAATCAGAAATTTAATGTTTTTTTGTTTTGTTTTGTTTTTTAAATATATTTCTTTATTGATTTCAGAGAGGAAGGGAGAAGGAGAGAGAGAGAGAAACATCAATGATGAGAGAGAATCATTGATCGGCTGCCTTCTGCACACCCCCTACTGGGGATTGAGCCTGCAACCCAGGCATGTGCCCTTGGCCGGAATCGAACCTGGGACCCTTCAGTTCGCAGGCTGATGCTCTATCCACTGAGCCAAGCTGGCTAGGGCCAGAAATTTAATGTTAAAGTGTAAAACATTCACATATTTGTTAAATGAATAAATTTTTAAAATGTAAGAGTCACTATTATATTTTCATATTTATTGAAAGGCAGTGTTATGTTAATCCAAGTAGTATTAATTTGGGAGAAGAGATGGGAAGCATTGTTTTCCCCGTAAGTGGGGAAGAAAGTGTCCAGATCAAGTATGTTTACAACTTTTTGTAATAAACATTTATATTCCTGAACGTAGGGCTTACTTCACTTATTTACTTTCCAGGCTCTCAGCTGGTGGCTTGTCTTCTACCCATCCTCATTTCCTTCCTTTTGGATGAGAATGCTCTGGGATCAGCAACTTCCATAATGAGAAATTTACATGACTTTGCTTTGCAAAATCTCATGCAAATTGGGCCTCAGTATTCATCAGTGTTTAAAAGTGTAATGGCTTCTTCTCCATCCCTGAAAGCCCGCCTTGAGGCTGCTATAAAAGGCAATCAAGAAAGTGTCAAAGTCGGGACACCAACATCTAAACATACTAAGCACCCTGGGAAGAATTCAAGCATCCAATTGAAGACCAGTTTCCTCTGATGTTACTTTTTTTTATTAATAAGCACCTTAATATAGTAGTTGATTATTTTATTTCCTTCTCTTTGGGGACAAAAGTGACATTTTAGACACAAGTGCACTTGGAGGTCTAGTTGATTGTTTTAATTTAACTGACTTTTCAAAGTCACAAAACAACATTTTTTGTGGGGTTTTGTTTTTCCATTTAATAAAGCTGCACAGCTCTGTCAGAATTCTTGCCAGGAATTTCAATAATGTGCTAAAGAACTGACCTTACTAAACAATCCACTGCTTTAAAAATGAAATGGATTTCTTCTGACAGTCCATACACACTGAATATTATGACAGGTTGGACTCTATCATAAATTATCTGCATTTACGTTATATCCCAATTTTAACTTAAAATTCTGCCTTATTCAGCAATTGTATTAAACTTTCTTGGATTTCTCAAACAACATAAATTATTGGAAAACTACTTAGGAAGCTTGATTTAGAATTATTCAATATATAATAGTACAAATTAATTACAGCCCTACAGTGTGACTTAAGATTTGATGTCTATAAATATCAGGTTTTCAATCATCTTTTGGTTTTGTTTTTATTGGGTTCAGAAAATAGAAATTTTATTCATTTTAAATAAAAGAGGGCATTGCACTTCAATGTTTCAAATGGATTTTCTGTTACCTCTATTCCTAACAATTTTGTTCATTTGCATTTGTGGCAAACATTCATACCAATGAGTTTAATATAGATTCATATCTATACTTAGATCAACTATGGTTTATATAAATGTCAAATTTAGTACAATAAATTTAGATCATCAGTGAATACAAGTATGTTTTTTTAACATGAAACATATTTTAATATAGAAAAAAATCTAATGATAAAGTCATCTTGGTTGAAAAATATTTTTTAACTGTTGGTGATCATTGACTCTCTTTCCACTTCAGTGTTACACTTTGAATCAAGCACTATGTCAAAACAAAGCGCTTTCTTGTTAAATATTAAAAACCGAAGTGATGGGGCATGTTCAGAATTGAGAAAACACTTTGAGTCAAGCAAAAGCAATGTAATGTACTCTATTTTATTATGTTTGTATATAAATACTCTTGTAAATTGTTCAGAGTGAAAACATTTGACAAACTCTAACACTACAATCAATTTTTCTGATTTACATAAATAAAGCTAATTTTCTTTATTCTTGTATTTGAAATTATTTACCCACATAAATGGCTGGTTAATCTCCCAGATTTCAGAAAATCAATTTTACAGGGCAAATAATATCCCTTCTCTGTAACTTGGCCTTTTTTTCTCAGAGGAGCCCTTTCTTTGGAGCATTCTTTGCAATGGTTTGGGTTCTGTTTTCCTAATTGTCTTGAGGAATTTGAGAGTATACTTCTTACTGTTTCTTTCACCTGAATGCCCTTCCTTCCTTTGTTTTATCTGGCAGGTTTCCACACCTTTTAGGCCTAGTTTAAATATCACCATGTCTCCTCACCTTGGTAACTCTCCTTTAACTTCTTTTTTTTGGGGTGGGGGTAATATATTTTTATTGATTTCAGAGAGGAAGGGAGAGAGAGAGAAAGACAAACATCAATGATGAGAGAGAATCATTGATCGGCTGCCTCCTGCATGCTCCCACTGGGGATCGAGCCCACAACCCCAGCATGTGCCCAGACCGGGGATTGAACCATAACATCCTGGTTCATAGGTCAACGCTCAACCACTGAGCCACGCCAGCCAGGCTCGTCTTTAACTTCTTTCCTTCCTCTTATACCAACCAAATTTAACTGCTCCTTCATCTGTTCCTGTGATGCTTTATACATTCTTCTGTGCATGGAACATCACATTGCATTTTAATATCTCCTTAGACCAGTGGTGGCGAACCTTTTGAGCTCGGCGTGTCAGCATTTTGAAAAACCCTAACTTAACTCTGGTGCCGTGTCACATATAGAAATTTTTTGATGTTTGCAACCATAGTAAAACAAAGATTTATATTTTTGATATTTATTTTATATATTTAAATGCCATTTAACAAAGAAAAATCAACCAAAAAATGAGTTCGCGTGTCACCTCTGACACGTGTGTCATAGGTTCGCCATCACTGCCTTAGACTGTGCCTCCTCAAAGGGAGTTTTGTTTTCTATAACTACTCTGTAGCGTCAACTAGGTACTTAATAACTTGAATTGGAATGATATAGGATGGATTTGAGGTCAGAAATTTATTCCTTTGCCAAGGCAAATGCTGGACTGGATTCTTGGTATATAATTTATTAACTTCATCTTTGGGTTATTTTGTATTGAAAGGTTATCATGGTGGTATGCGGGCAGACTAAATAGCCATCTCAGACGGTGGATAAAGAGAAATTGAATTTATTTAAGGAAAGGGGGTGGGGGATGGGATACCCAAAGGGAAGAGCTGCACAGCACCGAGCCAAAGGGATATTGGGTCGATGATGGCAGCCCCCAGGAATTGGAGTTTCATATATGCAGTCACTGGTGGGGAGTTCTTATCATCATTGGGTCTGGGAGCTGAGCTGGTGAGCTTGTAATGCAGATGGAATTCAGATGTGCAATCAGGTGTTTTTAGGACAGTTTGAATTCCTGATGTGGTCTGATTCTTGGTGTCCTGCAAGTTTTCCTGTGGTGGGAAACTTACAAATGGCATTAAGGACTATATTGCCCTATAGTCCTAATAGAAATCTTTTAATTGTATTATTTAGTTTGTTCAGCTAAAAACAAGACAACAGGCTCCAACAGTGTCACTCATGCTAAGTCCCATGTCACCATACTGGAACTTAATTACAGTTTTGGCCTCTCCCAGAAATGGAATCTTCAACCAGTCAATCATAAATCATCTAATCAGCATCATGAGGTAATCAGCCTGATAGACCCCTTCCAACCCCTAAAAGAAAGTGACCTTCCCACAACCAATCTGCTTTTCACTAGTGCAACTTTCTTGTTCCCACTTCCTTTTGCCTATGAAAGTCTTTCATTTTGTGTAGCTCCTCAGAGCTCCTTTCTATCTGCCAGATAGTACGCTGCCTGACTTCATGAATTGTTAAATAAAGCCAGTAAGATCTTTAAAATATATTCAGTTGAATTTGTGGGTTTTTTAAAGTCAGTTTTTATTTTTTTGTTTTTATTTTTTTTAAATATATTTTATTGATTTTTTACAGAGAGGAAGGGAGAGGGATAGAGAGTTAGAAACATCAATGAGAGAGAAACATCGATCAGCTGCCTCCTGCACATCCCCCACCGGGGATGTGCCCGCAACCCAGGTACATGCCCTTGACCGGAATCGAACCTGGGACCTTTCAGTCCGCAGGCCAACGCTCTATCCACTGAGCCAAACCGGTTTCGGCTAAAGTCAGTTTTTAAACATTAAGATTTCAAGCCCAGCTGGCATGGCTCAGTGGTGAGCATCGACCTATAAACCAGAAGGTCAAGGTTCAATTCCCAATCAGGGCACATGCCCGGGTTGCAGGCTCGATCCCTAGTGTGGGGTGTGCAGGAAGTAGCCGATCAATGATAGTCTCTCATCATCGATGTTTCTATCTCTCCCTCTCCCTTCCTCTCTGAAATCAATAAAATATATATTTTAAAATAAACAATATTTCTACTCATCATTTAGTGACATGGTGTCCTGAATTATTTGGGTTAAAGTTTCCATATGAATGTCAATAGTTACGAAAAAATATGTCCAATGCCATGGAATGAGGAACTTTGAGTTAGGGTCTATTCTATAGCCTTTTAAAAAATGTGTCAATACAACATATTTAATAAACATTGTATTAGTAAATATGTCCTTACTGATAAGAAAATTAAGGCCTGATAGCTGAAATTTGAACCCAGGGTCCATACTGAAGACAGAAAAAGTTCTGTGGCAGTCCTGACTCTATCAAGATACAGATTTTCTCTTCTTTCACTACTCACCTTCAATTTCAAGGGAACACTTAAACAGATCCCGATAAATGTTGTAAAGATGTATAAGCCTAGTGTTATGGGAGCCCAGAGAAGAAAACTGAAGTTTCAAAAATGGACTTTATGGTACAGGCGATCAGAATAGTATTTACTTGATGGGATAAATGCATACTAAGTGCATAACCCAAGAGTCTTCATAACATTGATTCTGAAAAGTTCCCCATATTTCATATCCTAAAGAATTCCCTGGTGGTTTTATTATGATGATGATGATGATGATGATGTTAGTTTGTATTACGAGAGAAGAAATTCAGCCCTCAAGCTAATAAACTATGAAAATATTAATACAGAACTGACAATATGTGAAATAAATTATTTTTGTTGTTGTTAATCCTCACCCGAGGATATTTTCCATTGATTTTCAGAGAGAGTGAAAGGGAAGGGGAGAGACAGAGTGAGAGAAACATTGATGTGGGAGAGATACATTGATTGGTTGCCTCCTGTACATGCCGGGACCAGGGATCAAGCCTACAACCCAAGTACGTGCCCTTGAATGGAATCGAACCCAGGACCCGTCAGTCCACAGGTCAACGCTCTATCAACGGCTAAGGTGAAATAAATTCTATACTCATAAAACCTAAAGTTAAAATGTTGAATCATTTCTGGTGGTTTAATGACTGCATTTCCCTACATTAAGGCAACAGTCCTACATCTTCAACAGCCTGCCTATGTATCTTTCCAAAGTCCATTAACATAACATTTATTACTGACACATACTGCAATTTCTCCATCAATTAAATGCACTTTCCTCTTTACAAATAACTTCTTAACTCTTGCAAGACATCAATTTATTAGGAGAAATTTATCTCCATGTTTGCTAGCAATATAGTTACTCAACTGGGAGCTAACTGACAATGATCAGTTGTCAATTCAACTGTCAGTTAATGAGTTGTGCCCCGTTGACTTCTGTCTGCCCATCTGTTTAACTGATACCTGGGCTTTTAGCTTTGAGGAAATGGAAAATTTTGTGTTGTGATATAGAGCTGGGATATATTCAGTACAGACCACAAATACAATTCCAGTGTCTTTAAATTCAAAGGAGCTAGCTTCCTTTAATTGTGTTTCTGTTTGGTTAGGACTCCTGCACTGTTCTATCTGGGGCATTTTAAAATGATTATTCCATAGACTACTTGGGAAAATTTCTCTTTACTTGATGGCCATTCTTAATACATATCCACATATCATTCTTTAAATAGACAATGTATTTTATTTTTAAAATGATTCTAACTATGTTTTTAAGAAAATAAGAGGTCATTGTTGCTGATAAAAAACTAATGTTGATAATGTTTTGCTTAATGGAATAAAAATTTAATCATTTAATTTTTTTTTCAGATAAAAGTACCTAAAGGTAAAACAAAAGGTACACACACACACCAGATGTAGTCAACTACTTCATAAACTACTAGAGGCCCAGTGCACGAAATTCGTGTACGGGTGGGGTCCCTAGGCCTGGCCGGCGAACGGGGCCGATCTGTGGGGTGACCAGCAGGGTGATTGGGAGGTCCCCGCTGGCACCTGCCTTGGCCAGCCTGGCAGCGCCCACTGGCCGGCCCCGCCCCCCACTGCTACTGCCAATCGCCTCCCTCTGTGGAGCTACCAGCGGGCTGATCGGGGGGCCCCCACTGGCACCTGCCTTGGCTGACCTGGGGCCTGCAGGCTGGGGGCAGTTCCTGCATTGAGCATCTGCCCCTGGTGGTCAGTGTGCATCATAGTGACTAGTCGTTCTGCCATTCGGTCGATTTGCATATTAGGCTTTTTTTATATAGGATACTATTCCAAGAAAGAACAAAACAAGTGAGATTCTTTTTAATATCTTTTTATTGATTTCAGAGAGAGAGGGAGAGATAGAAACATCAATGATGAGAGAGAATCATTGCTTGGCTGCCTCCTGCACACCCCCTGTGGGGAATCAAGCCTGCAACCTGGGCATGTGCCCTTGACCGGAATCGAACCTGGGACCCTTCAGTCCACAGGCCGACGCTCTATCCCAGGGGTGGGCAAACTTTTTGACTCGAGGGCCACAATGGGTTCTTAAACTGGACCGGAGGGCCGGAACAAAAGCATGGATGGAGTGTTTGTGTGAACTAATATAAATTCAAAGTAAACATCATTACATAAAAGGGTATGGTCTTTTTTTTTTTTTTTAGTTTTATTCATTTCAAATGGGCCGGATTCGGCCCTCGGGCCGTAGTTTGCCCATGGCTGCTATCCACT